TACCAACCCTTTGCCAATGCCAAATAGAGTTTCCAATATAGTTCACTTATCATCGATTAGTTTGAGCAAATACTTACACTTATCGTAGAAGATCGATGCAGTGATTAGAAAGTTAAGCAACTTTTGCATTGGCTGGTTATAGGATGGGAGACCAAAAATTTATTACCTAGACAAAATAGTTCCGTGCTTCTGATGGCGCGTAATCCGTTGGTCCCGGTTCCAACTGTCGATAACACCCGCCAATCAGCACTGGGACAGCACTAAGGTAGGCATATGCCCCAGTAGTGGGGATGTTAATATGTGATGGTGGTGCGGTGATACCAATACTTAAATATTACCTAACCTACTTAAGGTTCACGTGACGAAACATGAAATCAACATGCGAAATATCAATGGACATTGCTGATGATAATTAATAACTTAACAAAAGACAGATTTGTTAATCAAAAAAGATACTTGGAGTAAAGAAATGGGCGGATTTTGAAACAGCGTTACCTTTGTCCTAAGAATATTTTATGTGCTGTTTCTCATCACCAAGACGTGATGCTCTAAGCAATTGCTTAGCTTGCTTATGGGCAAATCCAACACTAAATATGCTGTATCAAAATTAGCATTTTTTAAATTTCATGAGAGTATAATCAGTCAGTCTTACATACAAGCAAATAATTGTCTTTCACCTACATCTTAGACAATTTACAGATCACTTCGAAGCGTTCTGTTTTTCAATATTCAGCAAATATAAATCAGGAAATAACACAATTCCAAACAAATATGACTTAAATATCAACATAATGTGTTATCGTAAACTTGTCGGTAGTATAAACAGAAATACTCGAGAGTGATCAGTCGGGTTTGCGGAATTATAAGAGAACGATGCGGAAGATTCAGCCGTTGGCGATATGCCGAGCTCGACCAGATGGATCGTGGCATTGGGCCAGCCAGGGTCAGGACCGGCCGATGCACTCTAACCATCACTCAATCACGAACACAGACGATGACACGTTTTATGAGCAATCCACATCGGCCTAGGCAATAAATACCGACTAACAGACCTTTATTACGATAGAATATTTTAAGCACAAGGAAAATACAAAAATTATTATTTAAATCGTCATTTCTATCCTTCGCCCTTAGAATGGACATTTTTTGTAGATACAGATATTATCTCGGAGCTCAGAGAGTTGTCGCTTTCGTGGGTAAAGATAAGCAAAAGAGGCTTTATCTTAAGCTCCTAAGGATAAGGGTGAGACATAATATTTAGAAAGCTCTGACTGAAATAAAAATAAATAATAAAACTCCCCTTCACAACACAGCAGGTAGTAAAGTCTTTCGAATTGTTTTACGTGTAAGGTACAATTCTTTTGGCAACAATAAATAGTTTTATGAAGGTCCTCGCACTGCAGTGACGGACGACGGCTCGCAAGAAACACGTGTCCGTTCAAATGTTTATTTAGGCAAACTCGTAAAATATATTGGCAGGATGTGCTTTGAACCCTCAAGGTTGTGTAGGTTATTTTAAATTGCCAACTATTTTTTTGTCGAGTTTCATTTCCGTCTTTGTTAATTAAATAATTTTTATTTAAGTCACAATTAAAACCAACCAACAAACGCTTGTGTAGTTAATTTTAAAGAGGGTTGTTGCATCTTGCATTTTCGCTTTCACGTCTCCAGTTTTAATTGTTCGAATTGCAATGCGAAGTTTCATACCTACACACTTATTACGATTATTTTATATTCTTTATAACTCATAGGTCGTAAGTGAAGCATTAATGGACATATTTTCTACACTTCCTAACGCAAGACATTACTAAATTAGCAAAAAGAGTCCCAATAAGAGCGCAGTATGCGTTTGTAGTTCTTTATTTACGCGATACTGCAGCTGGCTGCCGTCCAGCGCTTCACGAAAATAGCACCTTTGTCGATGTCATTGTACTAGCGAAGCCCTACACCAATGTTTACCAAACCCACTACAGACTTAACACATTTTAAGCCCTTCAAACATTACTTTTATCAGCTTATCTCAAAAGGTACGCTCTGTTTATTTTTGCGACTATTAACATAAGTTCTAGAAACAATACAAAACAACGTAGAGGGAAGAAAAAACACGTGAAACTTACACAAAAGTTAAAAATTATTGACGTTTGATTATAGGTAACGGTGCAATTAAAGGTACTTTTTAGTCGATCAAAAAAAACGTTTTTCCAAAACGTACTACTTTTTCTATTTTAATGGTATTTACGGATATTAATCAAAATTTTAACTGGTGCCCAAATCTCCTATCTTTTAGAACAACAGATAGTGAAATTCCTAAAGCAGCGGCTCGTGGAAGCGGAACAAAACGAACCCTTTCTTTATCTAACCCGGAGCACCAAATTGGAAGTAGAAAAAGATGGCCGTGCAACAAAAAGCGAGACGATTCGTTCGGCCAACCCTTTTATTTCGTTCGGCCGTTCTCTTTTTAGTTTTATTCTAAAAATATCACATTCACGAACCAATTTTGAAAGGAAACGCGGTTTCTGTTCAAGGTCAGCTGAATTAGTATTCGCGTGGTGTGATCGCGGTTCGCCCGATCACAAAAACTTGTTAATACACACCTTGTCAAGTTTTTTTTAAACGTCGATTAGAATTGACTGTTGACTACGCCGTTTCGAAGCTTGTTATGTGTGAAACTCTTTAATAATTAATGTTACGTACATACCTACGTGGAAAAACCTAACACTCAAAAATATATAGTGAACATATGAACACGACAAGACTATTTTATTCTCAATACACATTTTTTTCACTTAATCTACTAGAAAAAAACATGATTTGCGCTTAATTTTTTCACTTACACCGATAGGCTATTAGATAAGAATGCAGTGGAGCAAAACTATATGTATAATATACATTAATTCGTCAAACTAAAAAGATTAAATAGAAATAAATCATGAATAAGTTATTTGAAGGATGTTTGTTTATTTATACAAATACGAAACAAGTTGTTTTAGCTAAATGCAATTCAATAATAAAATCTATAAGAATGCACTAAACTCGTAAGTCGACTAATTTATTTGTACTTAAGAAGGCTAAGCAGAACAGGATGTCATATTTATATTGGACTAAGCTTAATGTAAACGTAAAAAGTTAGGTATAAAAACTTAATCCGATAGATTAAGTTAGGTTCTTAATAATATTAAATATTGTTGACACTTCTTGAATTATTTTTCACTTATATAACAATATTTTTAAAGTAAGACCTACTTATATATTTTCCATTTGCTTTCTTAAGTCGATTTTTAACGTCAAAACAACTGAACCGTATTTGATGAAAACTTTAGTGATCCCTAACCTGAAAATGTTAAAATATAAGCCCTGATTTTAATTTCATGAAGTACCTTGATAGACATATTAATTAACAACAAAGTAACACTTTGATGTTCTCTTAGACACGTAAGCTTAAAAACAGAATGGCTAATTTATTTACGTCTACACTAGAAATCGGTGGAGGAACCACAATACACAACGGGGATCCAGTGCGGATTGGTAGGTGTTAACGAATGCTAAAATCGATCCAAAAAACTTATTTAAGATTTTTTTATACCATTGCGATTTTTTTTTCTATTAACAAACTATCGAAATTTGTGTTTGTGTTTTTAGCAAACAATCGATCTTATGATTATTTGCCAAATTATAAAAGATCTTTAATTGGCAAATATTAGCGTAGCCTTACAATAAAATTGGTTTAAATAGTGATAATTTCGTACCTCCTCGTCTTAAGCGACTGATGATTTAAACCAGGTACTCACTTAAGTCCTCGTTTTATAATAAAAAGGATAAAGACTGGACGGTAATCTTCCGAAGCTTAGTACATCATGCAAAGCCGGAGAAAATATGAATCTATTGCATATTATTATTGCCCTAAGGATAGGGATACATTTTCCACTCGCGACCAAACTCGAAAACAGATTATGATCCACATTTACAATACGATTTGCAAAAAAATATCAACGTAATAACTACTTAAGATATATATTTAAAAAAAAGTCATTATCCTCTACTATCTAAGCTAAAACATTTCATTTTTATGTTTAGAATTAAGCCGTGAAACATATTTCATCATTCAATATTGGAAAAAATTTAAATACCTAATAAGGCAGATATCGGGTTTGGAAACTGATCGAATAATGATTATAACGCTGCCGAATCTGATCAACATGCACCAATAAATTCAGGGTTGGTGGTTACAAGAAATGTGAGTCAGACTACAGACAAAAAGGAACGAAAAATGCTGAATCATATCGCTCATTCACGCTGGTTGAGCCCGTAAATATACCACAAATAAAATTCACTGGAGTATATTTATTGAGATCTTGTCATAAGAACACACAATCTGACATCGTTAGAATTAAGTACGTAAAAGAATATGCTGTGTAAGTTTTTATAATAACCCCACGATAAAAAAAAATCCATCAAATTCTTTACAGTATTCGCCGGATTGCTTAACTGACCGTTTCAGTCGGCGATTCGATTACAATATAGGACCCGCTTCCGAAAATATTTTTTTCCATCTCATTTGATAATATGATTTCGCATCACTAGGTATTCCCAACAGAACACACAGAAGCTTTTAAAAAGCTCCATAATACTCATATCATGTAGCCAGTGTGATAAAGCAGTTAACGAGTTGTAATGTTATTGTTATTGTCATGTGGATGATGATGGATACGAGCCGGCATTTAAGTTATAACCTCAAAGCTCGGTTGGAACCACCAGACGAAAGGGAGCGCGCAGCCGCTCAATGTTGTCACGCATGCGTACCACCAGTCTGCCGAACACCGAACAAAGTTGCACAAAGCACGAACACTCGCGATGTCTCACAGTAGGTAACTTCTCACGACGTTCATATACTACCGCGATACGTCTGTGGATCGCTAGCGATTAAATGAGCATGTGTTTAGAATACCCGTTACATATTAAGTAGTGTTATTGTCTTTATATCATTATTAGCATCCGCTATCATGTACAAAACGGTGAGACACGGTGAAAACAGTCTACAGTACACTATTCTTCCGCAAACGGAAGAAGTACTCAACAACAGCGGTCTCAAGGGAAAGGGTCGGGACTACAGCCCGTCGATTCACGTCCGTCGCTCCAGGAGGAGATCAACTCTGAAATATGTTTTACTCATCATATTCGGAATTATCACTGCATTAGCGTTAGCATCTGTTCCGCTTTACGTTATGAACGGTGCTTTATACGCTCGCAAGAATCAGCAAGATCATCATGATATAGTTACAACAGCTCCATTGGCACCAGCCGGGCGAGAGATTGTGAAATCACGGAAAAAGGAACTAAAAATGTTACCAACTATTCTGCCGACTTTAGATGCCAAAATTGAAACTACCACAATAACGTCATCCACAGTGTCACCAACAACGGTGTCGACGACAGTAACTAGCGAGAAAGTGACCACACCACCTTGGTCTATGCCTGCTTTAAGGTCGTGGAAAAGTTCCACGTCTTCAACAACAATGTACCCTCTTCCCACAGATCGGAACGCAGAATTAGCTGCCAGTAATACTCCACCCGAGGGTGTCCATTCTATGGATCATATATACTACATGACAGTAAAACCTTGGGATAAAGACATTATCATAAGAGCAACTGTAACTCCGGAACCGATCACTTTGCGTAATGTGTTCAGATATTACTCTCGTGCTTTCGTACCTTCAGAGAAGCCCGTGACCACTAGTTCGAAAGTATTCGATGATGTTCTGATAACGACAAAGCCTACTTCTACGCGAACTCCAGTGACAACGGATTTTATCACCACCACCAGTGAGAAATCTAAATTTAAAGATTTGAAAGACACTTTGCTATCTGTCGATGACGACGATGAATTCAAAGAATCGCTGGAAGTCGACGAGGTGTTCTCATTGCCGCCTTCCAAGCCTGGCTCATCGACATCTAATACTGATTCTGACGAAGTGACAGTCCTTAAAGCTGGTGACAGTAGCTGGTACGGTGCGAGGTGGCCTTTCGTCGATACGTCTTCATACTTCCAATGGACGGTAAGCATTAGTTACCTAACTTATGTAATTATTACAAAATATGTTACGTTCGAAACATTATCGCGTGACAAGCTAACACTGAATAATTAAAACAGATACGACTGAAACAGCATTCATAAAATTATGACTGTAATTATTGGTAAAATAACGGAACTATTTATTATTGATCTTTTCTATATTTGTAAACATCATCATCATCACCAGCCCTTTTACGTCCCCATTGCAAGGGCTCAGGCCTTCCTTATGGATGGTTAAGGAGGATGGGCCATGACAATCCACGCTGGCCCAATGCGGATTGGAGGGTATTAACGACTGCAAATGCAGCCGGGACCAAGGGCTTAACGTGCCTTCCGAAGCACGGAGTAGCTCGAGATGATAATTTTTTGGTCACCCATCCCGTGACCGACCCTTGCAAAAGTTGCTTAACGACTACGATCGCGGGTCGCGGCGCTTATCCAGTACGCCACCGAGCTGCTTTTTATTTGTAAACAGCTGATGATAATTAGTTATGATGTTTTTAAGACTCGATTTTATTCATAATTTAATATTCTAATATATATTTTTTATAATACACCCGCTCCTTGGTATTTGGACCACTCCAGTAGTGTATAACGAAAACAACAACATTTAAAATATGTTGTACCGACATCGTTACATAAACAACATTTTTTATTGCTACTGTTAACATTTACAAGACGCAATAACGTGACATTTAAAATTGCCTAGAATAATGTCGACGCGCAATATGTACAAAGAACGGTTTGGATTTAGGTAGAATATAGATGTTACACTTTCAATGTCAATTATAACCTTTTTTTTATTTCACATTTTATTTAATTAATCTAAGTCTTATATCTTCATACAGAAGACATAAGAATACTAGGGGCCAATTCTACTAAATAAATTTTGTTTAAATCGAATCGAAAACGGATCGAAACCGAACGTAACTACAGTTTTTGATGGTTTTTCTATTCTACTAAGTGACATACGATACAATTCCAGCTAAAATAGAACTGGAATTGTATCGTATTATAAACAAAATTTATTTAGTAGAATTGGCCCCCTGTACGATACAGAGACCATCTTAAAGTTGTTTCACATTACTGACTATAATAAAATGCGATAATCCTACGTAATACGCTTTTGCGGATCATGAAATGAGAAAAAAAAAATGAATGAGTTTTGTGAGAGTTTAATAGCAAAAATAACGCGCAATAATATAAAACCCCGAACTCGAATATTCACTCCAAATTTTTTGTCGTGATTAATAAACAATAATTCTAAAAGCGCTTGTGTTAAGGCGGTAAGTAAAATAAAGATTAGTCTATATATAGTAACAATATCATTTCTCGCCGTCTGTCCGCATCTTTTAAACTAGGTACATTACGGGTTATTCCATCATTGCTGTTTCCATCAATATACAGAGTGATTCAAGAGGAAGGTTTATAATATACCTAATGCAAACACGCAGTTGAAACCGCTGGCGGAGAACTAGTATGAACTAAACCTATTTTAGATACAGGACCAAACAAACAAAAAAGTACCTTAATCTAAGCTTTTAGCCTAACTATAAATGCGTACACGTCATGGGTTATTTTGATTCACGTTATGTGTATCAAAACAATCAACAAAACAAAATCGAGCAAAATTGAATCGACAAATAAATAATCATATACGAAAAAACAGAGTAGTTACATTTATTTGCTAATCTTTGGTGTCGGTATTCTGTATAGTCTGGCCATAGGTAAGACAGTGAATAGTTATCATTTATATTAATAATTTTGTAATAATACCACGCATTAGATTTCTAGCCAAGTAAATAATCATAATAAATAGGTAGTATCTTTTAGTCGGAACAGAGTTTTTTCCCCATTTATTTGTACCATTCATCATAACTCTTATCGTAATTTGACTTTTTCGTCTATTTATCCTTATCTCGAGTGATAGTTAATTTCGGTTACTAAGCAACATCTTATCGGGCGTTGACATAGAATTCGTTACGTTAAAATTATACTATCATTTATTAAAAAAGTTAGATTTCATACCCATATAGGTTTTATAGACTTTTCGGAAATGGGTTATTTTCTTATATATTAAATACCTCTAGGATTCATAAATAGAACGGAATTGTTTTGATTTACTAACAGTTAATTAAAAAAATTTTTGGCTAACCAAAAAGATTACATAAAAATGCTGTCAACCCAAGTATACTTGTATGCTTGCCATGACGGTTAGTTAATTATGAGCGTCAATAAATATCATCGAGTTCGTGTCGAGTTTTAATCAAAGTTTCTTTCTGAACTTTTTTCATGGACGTCTAAGTTCTTTTCTATTTCTCGTTTTAATATTACATTTTTTTTTATTCTTTTTGCCTTAAATTGAAGTCTAATAGGATCTTAGTGCCATAGAGGCATTCTCTCCTAGTCAACCAGTAAGTATGTACAAAGCTATTATTGCATTGTATAAAGCAATAAAATTTTATGTAGTTATTAAATATATAACAATTTGGTTTATTTAATTTGAATCACAATTAATCAAAATTTTGCAATAAATCATTACAACCAATTTTGAATGGGTAAAGGTACATAATTTAAAAACTACATCCAAACCTCGTCTAAAAAAAAAGGATGTCTGCAAGATTTTTCATAAGCTCCTTGGATATTTCAGTAAGTTTTATTGGCATTTGGACATAAGTCTATAGTTCAGTCAGCTAGGATAAATAATTTCAGGTATCACGCAAAATATTAAATAAGTTAAACATCGGCTCAATGAAACTCGGTGCCCTAAGCAAAACATTGGAACTAGGCACCTAGACAAAACATAATATTGTTACGACGCCCATAAAAAATAACAACAATATATACAATTAATGTACATCGATAAAAGTATAATTTTCAAAAGAAACTCCATAGACACTGCTGTTCTAAAAATTTTGAATACCGCGTTTGAATACCGCGGTTTAAGGCAGCATTTTTAAAGTTCAAATAATTAGACAAACATAATCTGTTCCATGTCATGCCGGCCCCCAAACACGAGCGCCCTAGGCAGATGACTAATTTTTATTTGTTTGTCCATCAGGTTTGTCCATTGAAGAATATTAAACAAGTATTTTTTTAAGTAATCAATAAATTAGCGCGAATTGAATGTATATAAAAAAAACGAAAGCACTAAAAAAGCACCTCCACTAGATAGCGACTCTAGCAAAAGTTAATTTTTGCAGGATATCGAATGGACCAAAGACAGTCATTTCCGTTCCTTTCTTTTTAATATGTTAGTTACATATTAAAAAACTAAAATTTGAAGGGTTCGAAACTTAAATATCAATATAAATACGAAAAAGTACAAATAGAATATGAGTTGCTTATTGAGTTTTGAAAAGTAATTTACTTCTAAACTTGAAAGAAAACTGGAAAGGTTGTCATGGAGAAATCAAGAACGTACCGTAGCGACATCTAGTTTGATTTCGGGAACTAATGTTTTTTTTTAATACTTCGTCATTGTCGTATGACGTCACACCTTTGTACATTATCTATGTAATTGTGACGTTACGAGCCCCCACTCTTCAACTTTAACGCTAAATCATTTCTTGTTAAATTGAAGCAAACAAAATATCTAGATATCTAATTCTCTTCTATTACTTGAATGACGGATTAAATGGAATTTCATTTTTTAACCCAGTTTCATCCGTTTGCCTGTATGGATGAGTTGGTCCTTAGTTAGTTTAATTATAAATACAATTAAATAAAGAATAAATTTCGATCTGAAACTTAAACGATCGCCTTGTAGGCGTATCCATCTTTCATTAGTTTCCAGCAAAGAGAGTTTAAATTTAGACGTTGTTTCGCCGAATCCCAAACTGCCAATCATGGATTTGCTTCATCTATAATTTACATATTGTTAAATTTGCATCGAATAATCTACCATTCTACGTGACTAGTATTTTATTATCTTGATAATACTCAATTTAGCAAATCGAAAAAGAAATTGACCAAGTTAACAGTGGACTCGCGAACGGGGGCTTCCGAACCATCATCTATGAAAACATAATTTATTTCTGACTTTTTATGACTCTGACTGAATAGATAATCTAAGGCGAAAATTTCAAACGTCTACCTGTCACAGTACATGAGAATAGTGATGGACAGAGAGCTTAGTTTTAGTAATAGAATCCTGTTTTAAGTCTTTGGATAAAAAACTCTAAAAAAGCTTCTTTCTATAAGCTTCTCTCACTCCATTTCCAACGATTTATACGTAAAGTTCTTCATCGCCTAGTGAAATTGTTTTTCCTTTCAGTCATAAGGAGTCATCTCAAATGATTTGTTTGACAAATTTCTGTCCGGTCATGGTCCAACCTTCCTAACAAGTGTCCGTGTATCATCTTTCCTACTTCTGTATGAATAGTTACTTTTTGAAAAACCAAGAGAGCACCTTCTAGAGCTATGCTGTCAAGATTAACGCATTAAGTTACAGCGGCGAAAATGTAACGGAAAACATACCTAAGTTACTCTAATGTGCTAATAATAATAATGCGAAAGAGTGTTTCTTCCCGGCCCAGATGTGCCTTAAAAGCATTTTTTGCTTCAGTGAGTCTTTTATTTCACTTTTACATTGTAAGTCATTTATTTTATTATTAAATTGGATTACTTAAAACATACTAACTTTCCCCAGCGGCTTCGCCCGCGAGGACCCTAGGGAAATGTTTAGTGGGATAAAAAGTATCCTGTTATCTAAGTCAGCTAAAACCCTATCTGTATACCAAATTTCATTCGTTCTGCAAGGAGATGAAGCAACTTTCGTAAGAGGCGGTCAATAGATGGGTGACCACTAAATTAATGATCTATAGCACCTCCGTGCATTGGAAGGCACACATCTGCAGTCGACCTATCTACACTGGTCCACATGGTGGGTCATGGCCAACGTGACCAGTAGACCAATTATACTACAGTGTTATTATAAACAAGGTTTAGCGTTGGAGTAAATTTACGCTGAGACTGCGCTTAGTATTAGTCAATTTCATATAATTAAACAGTGACTTAGCAAAGGTCAACCTAGTACGAAGTTCTACGGGAATAATATTTACTCCTAGAAGGTAATAGTAAGGTATTAGTAGTAGTAGGTTTACTTATTCTCTATAAATAGGGATGATGACTAATTTTTGTTTGTTTGTCCGTCAGGTAGTGTTAAAAAATATTAAACACGTATTTTTTTATTTTTTTCGTAATTATAAAATTACGGCGTTACATTGAGTTGAAATTTCGCATAACGTCACGTTAGAGTACGTTTTCTACTCAACTGTGACGTAGCGAACCCCCACTCCTCAACTTTAATGCCTGTTATCTAAGGTATTTCTTGTTAAATTGAAGTAAAAAAAATACGTATCTAATATTTTTCTATTATCTGACTGACGGACTAAATAGAATTGCATTTTTTTTACCCAGTCATCATACCTATTATAAATTTAGAGTAATATTAAAATTGCAATTTTAGCGTAAATTTACTCTGACGCTAAACCTTGTTTATTAATACCACTGCTAATTAATAGTTGTATCAAAAGACTCAAAGACTTACATTTTGCTATTGTGTATCTACGTTAAGAGATAGATACACAATAGCAAAAAACCTTCCATCCATCTACGTTAAGGTAGTAGCTCGGTGGCGTAGTGGATTAGCGCCGCGGCCCGTGATCGTAGTCGTTAAGCAACTTTCGCAAGGGTCGGTCACGGGATGGGTGATCAAAAAATTATTATCTCGAGCTACTCCGTGCTTCGGAAGGCACGTAAAGCCGTTGGTCCCGGCTGCATTTGCAGTCGTTAATACCCTCCAATCCGCATTGGGCCAGCGTGGAGGGTCATGGCCCATCCTCCTTAACCATCCATAAGGAAGGCCTGAGCCCCTGCAGTGGGGACGTAAAAGGGCTGATGATGTATCTACGTTAAGTCCAATATTATTAGTGCAATGTCTTCCTCACACATAAATGGTGACAGATACTAATAATATTGGACTTCAAGTAGATACCTAGTACAATGGCAAAATGCGAGTGGAGACGTCCCATTTTTTGATTGTCTGTCCCGGTGTCTTCAAAGGTAACTTCGGGACGTAAAAATGTGCTATTGTCAAACTGGAACGCACGAAGAGGAGAAGGCGACATGATTGCATGTGAAATTCATTCATTTAAGATTTACTTTGAGGTTATTTGAAAGATGTTCAGAACCTTACATTCGATATGATTCAATACCATTATGGAAAGCCTGTGCCGCAGCAGTATTGGCTGGTGATGATAATGTGACCTACTTCTAAATCTAACACAACTAATCAGGAAACTTAAGCTTCTAAAATCACTATAAGTAATCATGAATAATATCATTATGTGACGTCAAACGACCAAGTCTCTTTCCTACTATTGCAGCACCATTATCTGCTTGATAACGACATGACCTAGCTCAAGATAATAAAGGTTTATTTTTTTTCTCTATACAGGGTTACTCGCCCGGTGATAACTTGTTGCTTCCGCTGCTAGTGGCGGCGCTATCATCGATTGCACTAGTGCTGCTGTTAGCGCTCGCAGTATGGCGGCGCAAAAGAAGCCACGTTGCTTCAACTCAGATTGGGGTATGTATATATTGAACACACATCGGGCAGGGCCGGATCTAGGGAGAAGCAAGTGGGGGCACTTGTCCCGGGCGCCAGCGTCAGGGGGGCCCAAAACCATCATTATATAATTAAAAAAAACGAGCTTCACAAATATTTTAATTCACATTATAGGCTACGATATGACGGACATGCTTCAAAATCCCTGATTGAAATAAAAAAAATCATACACTGCAAAAATATGGTAATATAATTTTAAGTGTCAGGCTCATGGAGCGTAGGTGGGTAGAAGGGTGCCATTCGAAGTTTTTGCCCCGGTAAAAAACTCGTAGATCCAGGTCTGACATCGGGAAGGATAGGCTCATGAAACAACGATGAGTATAGCGACCGAGAATTTTGCTATCGATGGAATCCATATTATCGATAGTCCTAAAATTCAATACTACCGAGCATTAACAGCTATGATGATAGTACCTACTGTACTGTCCCGATAAATATAGGAAAACATTGTATTAAATTGAATAAACATGTTAATTTCTTTTCTACTATTAAAAAGGATCAAGTGCGAATTGGACGGACAATATCATGTTTTCTATGGAGTTGTTCGCAATTTTCGAGTTAAATACAATCGGTTGAATAAGTATTACTCGTACACTTTTAAAGCCAACTTAAGTATGATAGTTTTCCTTTTAACTTCGTTATATAAGTACTTACTACTTACTGCCGTAAAGTTTGAATTTTTGCCAACGACCATTTAGTTGGCAGAGGGGAGAACTCGCTAGTCAGTACGGACTTTTAAGCGTAGTGATTGACCTTGTTTAAACTGAATCGTAAGAATACGACTCTTACTAAATCAAGTCCGATACTGTAAACAGTGCGGTCAGTTTTCGTCGCCAGCACTGACACATTGACTGATCCATTTACTGAACCAGGACTTTATACTATATAGGACTTTAACTAGACATTTCATTATAAGAACAGGTCCTCTAACTGAGCTACTGGGGAACCAAAGATTACAATATTTGGAGAACCTAGCATGCCATTTCTTAAGTATTCCTTCAGCTGCTATTTATTTTCATCAACGTTTGGATAAGTCAGCTCTCGTATTGTCCATACAAACTACATTCAAACCCTTGTTCTAGAAGTTAACCGCCGAGCTCCAGGCAGACGACAATACCAACTTGCTAACCGCAGAAAATCCAGAGGACGCTGAAGAGTGAATGCATACTTAATCGCGCTTCACGCTTGTTCTTCAGCAAATGAATGTCTAATATACAGCAGCCTGCACCAAACCAAAAATATCATAGAAACTGAACACTGTATGTCTGTACGTATCTCAAAAGTAAACCTGTGGGTAGCCTAATTGTCTAGTTTCAAAATCTATTGCAATCTCTCTCAAAGTTATACTTACAATCGATTGTAAAAGCTATAAAGTCGCAATTGTTTTCAAAACAAATGATGATTTTAATAAGAGAGATGATAAAAACTTAGTAATTTGCAGTAATATTTATGTCTAATACTTGCCTTGGACAACTCTAATATTAATGTCAAACTAACGATATTGTTTATATAATATCTTACAAAAAAAGACGTCGCGCTCGCAATTGATAACATATGTCAAATAGTAGTATGAAGTTCGTGAATATCTTTTAAATGTCAAATTAAAAGGGATTGCCATCGATTTTAAAATTAGACAATTAGGCGTCTGATAATTCACGCACGGCACAAATTAACAATATTTCTACTACATCTAGTAAAAAGTTAATGCTCAAAAACATTGTCACCCGGAAGCTTAATCCGTATTCGCAAAAAGCTAATAATAAACTATCGTTTCACAATCTGTACCCAATGCAAATCGTTTTTGTATTCCAGCGACCAAAAAACTACCAACGTGTATAATCAATCCAATACCTACGAAATCACATTTTTCTCACCAAGATGTCAGCATCTTTCATGTTTGACTTTAACTTTATATGAAGATTTGTCTAAACTAAGTTTATGGAAGAGCAATCAAATATATATACGGAGTGTTTCAAATTGTCTTTGCAATAGATTTAAATAATTTTAGACATATTATAAAAACATGATTTGTTTGTCAGACTTATTTTTGTCAATGCAGACACTGAAAAATCATGACATTATTAAACAGTATCCATCCAGTCACTAACAATAAAAAGATATTCAGAGTAGTAAAGTATATAATTAATGCTTGTATATACGCTTGTGTTACGAGTGTGTACACATACGTAAGCATCCTTCTATTCAGAACCGATGTATGTATCTGACAGAGCTATATATGAGACAACAGGCAGTAAATTAGACATTCACATCACTTTGTAATATTTTAGCCGCCTTAATATAGTTTCCCAAGTACCTACTAACCCTTGGGATCGTGTTCTATCCACACTACTCATACTTCAAATTTCCAGTGCCTATTATTTGTACATAATGTGCGATTGAGTAGATTCTCGATCAGAAGGCTAGAATTCAATTCAGAGATACGATATAATATTTATGTGTATATTTTGTAAACGCACTAAATCTTTTAATAGTAGATTAAGTACTTTGAATGCCAAAAAACGCTATTTATTTTTGGTACAAATAATCTACAACGTAGAACACGCCGGACGCAGAGTCGATTAGATATAGTGACGCGACTAAAGAGCTTGCTAGAATTTTTATTGGAATATTCTGTAACATTCAATTGAATGCATAAAAATAAACACACTCACATATCGGCACCCCTCTACAAATTGTATTTAAGAAATCTATATTTTAAGTAGGATTCCATTACTTTCTTAGTGTTTTAGGTACATCTTTCTTGGATTTAGAAACTTTAAATGTTAGTCCTGTCGAATAATACTGGGTGTGTCGATACATGCAATTGTTAATCAAATACACGATTAACATTTTCATCACGTCAGTACCTATTATCGAATACATATAAATCATTAATCATCAAAAACATTACAAAGGTAACCTGTGCATATTATAAAGAATTGCCCCCACCTCTTCAGTTTTTCAAACTAATGTTTTAATCGAAAACAACAGAGTTTCATGCTATTTTAGCCAATATAACAACAGCCAATGACATTAATAACACACCATGCAGTTTAAATAATATTTGTATCGAGCAAAATGCTTGTATTGAAAATTTTAGTTCCATTTACGGAGATAGATGGCGCGGTACAAATGTCATTGTCATATTGGGCTCAATACGAATTGGATTCGCAATAGATCGTTTACTGCGGGCACAGAATAATAAGATTGTTTTCATGTACAGTCAAAGGCATGTCAGTCCATACAAAACTAACATTTCTCCAGTTGACTTTAAACCTTAATGCATTGTAGGTAGAGCTCAAAATCAATTCGAGGAAATTTGGGTAATAGTGGTAACGTAGCGTGCAGCCGTGTGTAATTTTGTGTAAAGTTACTAAAGTATGGCGATGATTATTGAAGATGTCGGGATATAACATGCAGTCTGAGCACGAGTAAATTAAGGCATGTCTCTAGTGTGAAATAACTAAGGACGAAACGCAGGGTAGTTTAGTATCCTATATCATATCTCTGAAATTCGACAGTGTAACTCGTCAGTATTAAACAGCCCTGTCAACAGTACGTCAGTTTATACAAAATTGTCAAACTCCTCCAAGCAATATTAAACTTAACATTTAGGCGGTAAAGTTCAAAATCGAGGGAAGGAATTTGAAATTTTACGATAACCTGACGCGTTGCTGTGTAATAAATATATGAATTAAGCATATTTATTTTGGTCTAGTCTGATAGGTTAAGATGAAATATCAATCTCGATGTATGTTTGAATGTCACTTTAAATTTCAATTCAAAAACTATATTATTGCATAATTTTAATATAGGTATAAGACTGATGTATTATTGATTTTTGTTTTACTGTATTTAGAATGTTTCTTTTTAAACGGCACTATTCGTTTTGAATGTAACGTGTATTTCAATGTTAGATATGATCTAAGTGTAAAATCCGGTAAGGGAGAGTGCGGGGAATCGTTCTAGTTAGAAATTCAAATGTGATACATTTGTAGTATCGTAATGTTATTCCCCCGTAGAAGGAATTGGGAGGCCACCGTTACTCGAGTTATATACAATATGTAGTACAATTGACGTAACAGTGGCCTAAAAAAGTAAATTATAAAATTGTAAGGTAATCATTACCGTTCATGCTAGACATTTTATATTAATATGCGGACGTTCACGCACGGTGTCGATAGATATTATATTAGCTTTGTGTCCAATTAAATAGTATACTTACTGTGGTTGCCTCGAGCTGTGTGATCATTTCGTAATTGCTGATAACAATCACCCATGTACATAAACAATAAAATTAAATTATGTTTTCCCACCCAAAGAGAGTTTTTTTGCGTTTCACAGTACACGGTGTTGTATGCCTAATAGGGACGACGACTGGGTAAAAAAAATGCAATTCTATTTAGTCCGTCAGTCAGATAATAGAAAAATATTAGATACGTATTTTTTTTTACTTCAATTTAACAAGAAATAGCTTAGATAACAGGCATTAAAGTTGAGGAGTGGGGGCTCGCTACGTCACAGTTGAGTAGAAAACGTACTCTAACGTGACGTCATGCGAAATTTCAACTCCATGTAACGCCGTAATTTTATGATTACGAAAAAAATAAAAAAATACATGTTTAATATTTTTTAATACTCTACCTGACGGACAAACAAACAAAAATTGGTCATCATCCCTATTGTCTAATTTCAAAATCTTTCCCAATCCTTTTCAAAGATATAGCGATTTATAATAATCATAATTCATTTATTGCATGTCACATAGTAAAACAGGTGTTAAGTACAGTTTATGTGACACCCTGTAAGGGTGTAGCAAATTTAAATTAAAATTAAAATTTCATTGTAAATAGTAAATCCTTTAAATAAAATCTTCTATATCTTCACTTTCCTCAATATCTTACATTCATAAAATTTCATTATGGCAATTGCCTTCGTAGTGCAACGCTTGCGTTAGACAATTCCAATTAACGTCAATCTGACGAGATCGTTCGAACAATATATTTAAAATAAAACTCTCGCTATATCAAATAGTTGGAGTGAAGTTCGTGAAAATCTTTCAAACGTCAAATCAAAATGGATTGCAATAGATTGTAAATAAGACAATTAGGATTCTGTTTCCTAATTCAAATTAGTAGTTATCTCGAATTACAAAGGTTGTGAAAAGGATAAACGAATAAAAGCCAGATTCCACAATTGACTTATATTTCATACAATAAATCAGACCTATTGCAACGAAAAATATTACATTTCAACATAAAATAATGCATACCTAATAACAACATAAATAATAATATTTATTTGTCTTATTGTTTCTAACTTAAATAAAATTATCGCGGAGCCAGCAATATTAGACAAGATCGACATCATTGCTGAGGTCACTAACCCAACAAAGCACTTGTGTCATGAAAATCGAGAACAGTGTAGGTATCACAACCGCCCAGACCCGACTCAATTGTAGAACAAATACACCGAGAACACACCTTTAATGTCTTTATACGTACGACGTAAATAGGCTTTATACATTTATAATTTCAATATAGAGATAAAAATACTAAAATAATTTATTGAAATGAAAACTTTTAAAACCTTCATTAGAGTACTAAAGTAAGAAATATACTATACTTGTGACGTCATAATCTATTAAACTGTAAACGCCATACGTGAGCACACCAATATCAAGTATCGTTTCAAGTATTGTAATTTACTATTTATATTACGATCTTTCGGATACATATACCCTATTGCAGGAACATAGAGTTGCATTTTCTTTACACCATGATTATTACCATATAAAATAATACTTCTACTCAAAAACAGTCACATTTCGTCATTTTGCATCGCATTTCGTGTATGCTCTCGACGTTTTCTGCTCACTCATCGATATATCGAACCCGGGTCATCAGAGATGAGGTTACCATGCACGATTATGAAAACTGTAATAATTTAGTAAAATACCTGTCTGTTATTAAAATTACCCTCGTAAATGTTCGAATGTATTATTTTAACATAATACCGGACACATATTTTAAAAGTTCTTAATATTTACAAAAGAAAATTATTTCAATTATGCCAAATGAAATATTTTAAAACATATTTTAGACCATATTTTAAAACATATTTCACAGTTTTAGTTTGTATTAATTTTATATCATAATTGTAATTACGTTATATTAATTAAAAAATATATTAATTCGTGTGAAAAGACCGTGCCATGGCGATCGTTTATTACTTACCCCACAAGGAGATTGAACAGACAGTTAAATCATGTTATTTATATAGATATGTAGAAAGTGTATATAAAAACCAGGCGTATTTTAGCATTACAATTAATTGCCTTTTACATTGTTTGTCAACTGCATAAACACCCACAACATGTAAAACGATATAAAGTAATTTATTTCTAACCGAAATTACAAGTTTAGACCAAGACGTTAGTTTTCTTTCTCCATTTCATTTTTAATTTACGTTCAGTTAAAATTATTTATAATTTATCAAAACTCAGAAAACAACCAAATTCAAAACTATTTTATACAATTTTAATTAAAAAAAAAATAGGACCAAATATACAGAAGTTTTTCAAAAAACTATTTGTCCTCAATAAATCTTGTTTTTATATCGAAATGAGACAAAATAACATGTTATCATGAATACTACTACTATTTTATATAAAATAACAAAATTTTTGTCAAAGGTTTTTTTAGCCTTTTTACATATTTCGATATTAATAATATATGCGCAAACATAATTAATATATTTTTAATACTCAGCAATTATTCTACTCATGTGTATAAAGGTACATATAGGTGTAAAAGGTACAGTAGTAATTCTACTGACATCAATCTTATAAAGATAAATTAACCAGTGCCGCCATATTAGAATCTTTCCTTTAACCACAATTAACAATCCTTTTTTTTTTTTTGTTTTATTACGGTTTTTAATCCAAAGCAATACCGTTCATCACGAGCAACTCAACAACACTGGCAATAACAACATCAAAGTTGGTGATTCGACTTACCGAACAAACTTATTCACTTAAGTAATTATTAGAGATGAATCTAGGGCGGTGGGTGAGCGGGACGGAGAATGCGGGCTAGCACGTGCCTACCGCCTACTAGCTTCAGTTGCTGACCGTCCATCAGTACACTACGGACGCCGCTAGATGTCGCAACGGTCGCACCGCTCGAAGGAGTCGCCTAACGAATTAAATTAAATGGTTAACAACACGTTATGGTTATAAACAAACTGCCAATTTTTTTATTTAATTTTAAACCCTAATGCGTTTGGTGTAAAGTTCAATATCGGGGCGGAAATTTGACATATTGTGGGTAACCTGACGTCATAAAGGAGTCAGAATATAATAACATTAAAGTCATATCGACTTTATTAGGAAATAATGAAAATATGTAGTTAACCATATTAAATCTCGACTCACTATTATTTTGAAACAGTATTTTAATTTACTTTATTTTTTCAAACAATAAAAAAAAACCCCCGTTTTTTTTTTCTTTTGTACAATATCTCGCCTTATATAAGGAAATGCTTAAAATTATAATGTTGAAAACCATGCAATAGCTTTAAAAATTGATTAATGAGTATAGTGCTTAATAGTATTTATATTATTAATAAGATCAAATAAAAATTTCCCACATCCGATGCACCAATATTAATTGTACTAATCGTTAGGTAGTCCATGCAATCTGCGTATGTTCAATCCATGCAGTTAGTCACTGACCATAAATATCATCAAATCCTCTCAGAATACAACGAAAATATCGATATTGGCTGATCTCACTTAATTGTTAACAAGTAAGACTGAATACATATTTTTTTGTCTGTAATAGACAAGAGAAATAATTGCAAAATGGCTCATACGACTCATTGGAAAGAAAAAAAGAGCACACGTTAAAAAATTCGGTCAGTGTGCCTTTCACAGGTACGCTAAACTAATTCGTACCATAGTTTCTACTATTCGGAACAGTGTAAGTATGCCATAATCGAGTTTATCGTAATTATAAAGACATTTTTATCACACTATGTGTAAAATTCATCATGCATTTGTCTCAAATCACCTGCTGAATTCTAATTCCTTGTCCGAGTTTGACCTGTTGTATTGCATTCACCTAAAATATGTAGATATCAAAAAATAAGTATTGTTTCTACACATTCATTGTAACGTAACAAATATCTTCTAAAATGTAAGGTAAAGTGAAATGTAAACTAATGGCGTTTCATATTTTCCAATACAACTGTACTGTTTCTGATCTGTCCAATTTTTATTACAAAACAAAATGATAACAAACAATAATGGTATTTAAAAATCGGTAAATAAAGTCGAAAATCGCTTACCTGTTGTAATTTTAAGGCAGGCGTCGATGAAGTCGATGTAGTAACGGCTTGAGCTCCTGTGGAAATATAAACATGTTGCCGTTAAGCATTGAACAAATATCCAAAGTCAAAAATCTTCTTATATAAAAATTTAGTTTTTCAAATATATGCTAAAATAACTTGATGTATGCTTTTTTCATTAGTTTCCTCGTTTGTATAATTTTGTAAAATTACCGGGAAAAGCTGTCAGCACTAACTGTCGGTTTCACTACGGGCATACCTATCTGTCAGTTAGCTGTCACTGTCACTTTGATTTTGTCGTTTGATCAGTTTCGTGCCAATATACTTCCGGGTTGTCATTCTTGTAAAATTATTGGGATCGATGTAAAGATTTGATATATATTAATTGAAAAATAAAACGTTAATAAAGCAGATACGTTTGAAATAATAAATCTTACCAATATTATTCAAGACGATAGTCTGCGTTGGTGTAACGCCGCCACTGGACGTCACGCGAATCGGATTTCCATCACCTTGCTAAAAGATTATAACATAAAGATAGTTTCGATTAGAAAAAATAAAAAAACAATTTTATCAGAGTTAATCAAAAAGTGCCTCAATAGAGTATTTTAATTTGTATAATAAGCCATAAAGAAATTATTTCGGAAGAACTTTCTTAAACTTTTTATTCCAATAAATATTTTTTTATTTTATTATTATTTCGGAAGAACACGCAAAAAACCCTAGCAAAAGTTGCTTAACAACAACCATCACGGGCCGCGACGTCTATCCACTACGCCATCGAGCTACTCCTGTCATTGTATCCTAAAAGCATTAACTTTGGTTTGTGTTTACTGGTAGAACGCCTTAGGCATTAAGTCCGGCTATGTGCACTTGTGCATGAAGAATTAAATATATAAATAATAATTTTAAGATGAACAAAATCTTAGTTTAGTTATCATGCAACCTGCGAAGAACAAAAACATAATATTATATTAATAATGAAATGTTTGTTACCTGCAGTATGATGTTATGGAGCGGTTTAGCGGCAGTCAACAGCAGAGGGCGGGCAGGAGCTAATACTCTTACTGGTCTCACTCCTGCCGCTTGCAACTGTTGTATGGAGCGAGCGCCCACTACTCCCTCTAATGAAATCATTTGACCCTGCAATATATAAACCAAATAAACATTACACCGGCTGCAAAAAATGGACCATCATGGGCGATCACAGGCCATCATCATTGTGTAGACGGTACGATCGCCTATAATAGGAGTGTAGACAACTTTTTTATATTATGTATATGTTACGGCTAAAGGTGGGTGTGAACATAAACTTAAGATTAGCCGGCTAAACTTAGGTTTATCTTTGAGGAGGTGTCAATGTTAGTTTCTTCTATCTTTAACCAACTAAACTTAAGTGTAACTGCAGGCCTTTGGCTAAAAATGTAGAAGGAAATAGAAAAGGAAATAATTTAATAATGTTTACTATTCTGACACGAAAACCTTTATAAAAAAATAATCACGCTCATTACACATACGTATATGTACCTATGTAGCTATTAAAAATTACCATTAAAAAATATTAATAACTTAAAACAATATCTACCTAATCATTAATATAAAATAATAAGGAACTATTTGTTCATTACAGATACTTCTGTGGGTATTTAAAATTACAAAATAAAACTTCTTCAGTGTTAATTACTTAAAATAAGGCGCGGATGGTCCGCGACCATCAAATACATTTTTAGCCGTTTTGTTTCGGTTAATGTGCACATTGACCGGCTTAAAGATGGAATATCACAACGCAACTAACATGATATCGAACTTTAGCTGCTTCTCGAGGTTAAACGTAAGTTTAGCCGGCTAATATTAAGATTATGTTCAAACCCACAGAACACGGAAAGAGGTTAGAAAGGCGATCATGCATCCTTTGTACGAAAACCGATGTAGCAAGTCTTGCCCCACTTTTAGTCCGCCGTACATCAGAAGAATAATCAGACCAGTTATACATCAAACATGCCAATCAGAAACATGCCAATCAGAACGCTCCAATATAACTATAACCAATCACGTTCAACCATAACAGACATCTATAGTGACATATCACACTAGTGATTGACATAAAGTTATTTACTATCGATATTGAAAAACAACAAGTCGATTAATTGAAAGAATACTAGATTAATGATTTCTTTATATTATATTGGATATACATTGAATTGTATTGATTAAATGAGACATTATCTTTTTTCTTTAGATATAAATTCTTAATTAGTTGGTTGATTCAATAAGAAATATTTAAATTACTAATGAACTAACATTGAATCGGTACTAGTCGAGCTTAAATATATGCATATAAATAATATAATAGTAGGTTTATAATAGTAGGTTACGTTACTTGATTTCGTATCAAGTAAACAGATAAGATCGGCAACATCGCTTAAATGAAACTAGTAATATTGACAAACAATATAATGTAAATCAATATATACAAAATAAAAAAATACTATCAGTACAATAAATGCTATTGGAACTTATCCTGAACAGACTCCGATGATTTAAAAAGTATTGTTGTTAATGGTTCAAAAAAAAAACTAGTTTTCTGTTACAATATTAAGAATATAAAAACAGACTTATTACCACACTCATTATTAAATTAATATACAAACGCATTCCAAACGAAGTCAATATGGTTAATCTCTGATTAAATTTATTTTTTATTATCACTATTTTTATTGTCCATACTTTTATTTAGTTTTTACTACCTAACATACCAAGAATAGATTAAATGTTTCCAGGCACTTCACTACCCATCTACCGTAATCTATTATGTTGCTATTCAAAACGGTAATTTCGCGATATTCATTACATTACGTGCTTAGTACGACGCAATGTAATAAATATGCGCACTTCTCCAGCAATGTATATTTTCTTGGAAATATTTTTTGTGATTCACACTTTTGATAACATTTCACGATTTTCGACTAAAAATACTAAATTTGAGAAGTGTTCTACTTAATAATGGAAAGAAATCCTTCCTTTAGACCTACTTGAGGATGGGCTTCTTGTTTTGCAATTAATAACTGCGAAAGTCGGCATTTTTAACACTTTTAGTGGCGTGTTTCACAGTACTGACAACGTGCGCGTTCGTGAATGACTAAACATCGCGATCGCGTGGTGAAGTCACGATCCTGTACATTTGTCTAGGATCGTGGCTCCAGTGCCACGCCCACAAGGCCCTTCTAACGTCTTTCTGTGTTCTGTGTTCAAACCCACCTTTAGCCGTAACATATATCCACGAAACATATCTAAAAAAATATGTATCATTCATATTATAAGTTAAAATCTAAAAATAAACATCAACATCGGCGATCTCCGCTGAACTCCATTTTGACATTTAATTTTGTAATTATTATTTCGTATTCCGTAAGCATTAGTGACCATAAAAGTGAACTAGATTTCCTCCAAAATAAAAAAAATACAGCAACTGGCCAATGATTAATGATTTATTAAAATGAGCTACACAAATTTATTTTAGTTATCAAGTTGCCAGTTACAGAATAAGGATTCCAAGATGAGTTGTTAAAGCCCTCATGTTCTCGCGTATCCGAATAATAGTTCATTTTGAAACAACCGGGAATCGAACCCAGAGATAGCGACATCTTAAAACCAGCGTGCGAACCACTCGTCTACGTAACTACTTAACAACTACGGCTCCGATTCGCACGTACGTATAAAATACTATGATTATATATACTATGATAATATGATTAAAATTTATATAATCTTGTTAAAATAAACATAAGATTAGGTAACCATCTTACACCCAGTTTTTTTTAATTGAGTATGTAATTAAGGTTTTCGTCTCTGATTTAAGTTTTTTTTAATGATCAGTTAATGGCAGTTTAATTAAAAATTAGCACTTTTTGCCTTGTGAAAACTAAAAAGGTTATTAAGAATAATCAGATGAGATTTTGTACTTTTAAAAATTCTTAAACCGGCCGTTTGTCACATTTTTAATTGAAGCTCTCCGAGTGTTATAAATAACACAAATCCATTGAGGCGTTTTCTAGTGAAAATGTAAAATGACACATATATCCAAATATCTAAACTTTTAGACTAGTAAATAGTAGAATTAATCTTCTCATAAAAAAAGAAGAACAATACAAGCGTGTAAAATACAAATCCAAATAATATAAATAGAATATTAGTATACTTAAGATAGTTACTCACTTGAGCATTAGTTAATAATTTCGCAACGATCGGTTGCGCACCTTTCTCGGTAGTAGCTTGAGTTCGCACCACTTGAGTAACTGGCTTAGCGGCAGGATTCGCTAATTGAACAGTTTGCCCACTGGCCAACTGTAGTGTTTGCCCACTGGACAACTGTACGGTTTGCCCACTGGACAACTGCAATGTTTGCCCACTAGGCAACTGTACGGTTTGTCCACCCGCTAATTGCACCGTCTGTCCGGCTAATTGAACAGTTTGAGACCCCAACTGTACACTCTGTCCACTTGGCATCTGTACATTCTGTACTCCAGGACTACTAGGTAATTGAACACCGGACCCCAACTGTACAGTCTGTACGTTACCACTAGCGATCTGTACCGTTTGTCCGGTAGGTAATTGTATACTCTGCGATGGTAAAACACTTTGACTGGCCACTTGAACACTCTGTCCACTCGGTAACTTCACGGTGTGTCCAGTTAATTGCACGCTCTGTCCGGCCAATTGTACAGTCTGACCGGCTATTTGGACAGTTTGTCCGGAAAGTTGGACTGTAGAAACCGGTATTGGAACCGTCGTTTGAGAAGTCGCCGTTTTGATAACTGGTGACGATTGTATAGTTCTCGGGCTGGGATTTTTTATTGCAGCGGAGGATACCGCTCTCACTGCTTGTACCGTTTGAGGGGATGCTAATTGTACGGTTTGTCCGCTCGGTAAACGTATACTGTGCGTGGGTAACTGTAAAGACGATAGTTGGAGAGTATGTCCGGCAGTCAATTGGACGGCTTGTCCGCCGGGTAAGTGAACAGTCTGATTTGCAGCCAACTGTACTGTTCGCCCTCCAGCTAATTGAACAGTACGTGTGGCAACAGAGGAAGTTACCACAGTAGGCACGCTACTGACCACCGTAGTTGCGCTTGTTACATTCTGAAAACAAAATTCAATATAATCATACATATAATGACAAAACAGAAAAAATAATAAACACTTTACAGTACGTTACCTACCTGGGCAATAGTCGTGACTGATGTTGTACTTGGTATCGATGGTCGTTTCTTACCTAATGTCGCTGTGGTACCTAATAAACAAGAGCTCAATTATAGAACTGTTTCAAAAGAGTGTTAACGATTTTTTTATATTTTCTTTTTATAGATATACATGAAATATATCTAAAAATATCATCCATATAAAAGCTTTGTAAAAATTCCCACAATAACGCCATCCTCTGTCATGGCGTCGCTATGACGTCACGCCTCTCTAAAACTAATATCGTTCTATATATGCATAAAGCTTAATTCTTCAAGTTCCAAAAGGGCCGTGACGTCACACACTGTTTGCGATCACGTGACAACTAGCTTGAAAATGTTTGTTTTTTCATAATAAATATACGCAATATTATATATTTAATAATAATAAGTGTGATTATCGGTAATAGTATATTAAACGCTACAAGAAAAAAAAATGCATTTATTTTCGATTACTGTCTACCCTCGTATTAACGCCGTGATTATCGGTAAAAGTATATTAAACACTACCAGAAAAAAATTACATGTATTTTCGTTTATTGATCAAGTCAAGATTTTAATTGAATATTAAAAATACCTGTCTGCATAAGAGCTCTTGGGGATATTAACGACTTTCCAGAAGACGGAGTAGCCGGACTTAACACTCTAACAACACCACGACGAGACGTGGGAACAGTCTGTAAGAATAAAAAAATAAAAAATAATACAAAAGTTAAGCGATTAAATATTATATCATTTTATCATAAATATTTTAAAGACGATAAATTAAATTAAAAATATTATGTTCTAGACAAACCTGCGTTGGATTGGTACTAATGGCGGTAACAGTAGTTTGTATAGCTGGCGGTCGTATTAACAAAGATCGTGTACCTTGCACCGACTAAACAAACAAAACATTTATTATATTATTTATTTAATATACAAACACATCAACTTCAGATCTCTTAAATATATAATAACACTTTTATTGATCCATCCTAAATGCAATTATTACATTAAAATTCAAAACAATTGCTGTAGTACAATACTTTGTTATAATTATTGCGTATCATGTTTCATAGTTATGACGTCAATATTTATATTTTTGTAAAGAAAACATTAACTATGAGTATAATAAAATCGAAGTAACTAAAAACTGTTACGATAAACCTAACAGGCAAAGCATCCTAATTTGCTAATAACATAAGAACTCTCCTACATTAAATTATTTATAAATGGTTATAGTTTGCGTATAAGTAAATAGGGATAGCACGCACACCACTGTTAGAAAGATAAAAAGATAAAACAATGATTAAAGCACGAGTGCAGGAAACGGCATAAATTGAGAATTTGGAAAAGTCATTGGCAGAAAAACCTTGAATCAGCAAGTGTAAGTCGAGAATGAAGCGGAATGGTAAAGAAGACGCAAAAGATCAAAATACGCCTTTCATTCAGGATTATATTATTTAAGTAATATCGAAAGATAATAAAGCATAGCAGTGACACAAAAGTTTAGCTATATCATACATCATTCATTTATATAAGAAACGAATGAAAATTAATAATTCTACTGTAAATTACCTTAGTTTGATTCTGTGGCGTTGATATTGTGAAAGTGGGTTGTAACACAGAGACAGTAGTTGGTTGAGATAGCGTGATAGCAGCAGATGCCTAAAAAAATAGCATTTAAATATCAAACATTAAATATATGTAATCATCATCACCCATAAGACACCCACTGCTGAACATAGGCCTACAAAAAGATCTACGATCTTTGTAATATATATCTGATTCCATTTTTCAAACATTACATATTATATTGATAAACTGTTAATTTTAAAAGCTGTTTTGTAATGGTATTTACATAAACCCTAAAATTAAAGTGATCAGTTCAAAATTACATACTACAAACCAAATGTCAATCTGGTCTTAAATCATCTTATTTAAAATAGAGCCGAAAGATTTATCTACAGCTTATATAACGGGTTAATTTACTTACATTCGTAATTGCCGGTGGCTCCACCCTTTGCAACGGCCTTTGCTTAATTAATGGCGATTTATGTGGTTGAGCAACTACAGTGGGCAGAGATTTGGATACTTGAATCACAGCTGCCGGAGCAGTGAGCGGAGTTTGAGTAACACTAACTTTCGGTTGAGCCGGTTTCACCGGGTGAGTAGGAGTTTGTTTAGCTTGAATAATATTCGTTTTTGGTGATTGAACAGGTTTCACATTCACTTGTTTCGTAACAACATTGGTCTTGGGAACATTTTGTTTGGGAGCCGCAGCGGATTTAGGAGGGACTATGCTGATTTGCTTCGGTTGAGGCAACGCAGGTGGTTTAGTAGGAGTCACTGTATTCTGTTTAGCTTGGACGGTCTGTTTTGCTAACATATTAGCTTTCGCTTGATTGAGCAGGTTAGCTTGCTTCGCTGCTTGTGACATCAATGTAGCCTGTTTCGCTGCTTGACTGAGTAGGTTAGCTTGTTTCACCGACTGTGTCATCAAGTTTGCTTTGGTCTGTTTTATTTGCACATTTGCTTTGGTTTTCTGTGTTGGTGTCGCTATTAGTTTTCCTTTGGGTTTAACGGGGATAGGCTGTTTCGCTATTATCGCTTGTGTCGCTTGCATGAGGAGTTGGGCGGACGACAAATGGGACAAGGAAGATGATGCCGATGTGTCTTCGATATCCACGTCGCTGTCTGAAGCGTTTTCAACCACTTCTTCTACGCTACCTACTTCCAACTCGACCTGAAAATTAAATAGTAGATAATATTAGGTATTTGTAGTTTTATGACACGTTATGATTTTTGATTAATAAATAATATAATGGCATTCTTTTCTCCATTTGGCAGAATGTCGACACTCCGTAATTTATTTGGCATAAATTTATTTTTAAGAATACTCATAAGGCGCAACATTTAGCATTTTATTGGTTAGCTGAATGTATGTATGTCTGATTTATCAGAATTTCTGTTGACATAATTACCATTGCCAAAATATAATATCACATAATTTACTTTAGCATAACAAGGAAAGATCCGATCAACCTATTGTGTTAGGGTAGTGCTAAAAAAATAACAACCTACATCGTTAAAAACATACAGATATAAAATGTATGCCAAAAAATGATTCCGACTGCGAACTTTCTGAGAAGTGAGGGATCTTCTTTATAATTATTATATGTATAAAATGTATGTCTGAGAATTTATGCCATATGAGTATAATCCAAACGAATATCGACGACATGAACATAATGCCATTGTCTGTAACATTATGACATTCAAAGTTATGCCATAAAAGATGGACAAATTTTCTAGAACTTCTAGATCAATTTGATAATTATTTACAAAATTTACCCTTTTATCCAACCTGAAAAGTTACGACTCTGACTAACACAGTATATAATACATTCACATATATGCTATTATGTTTATACTAACAGCGGGAGGCATAGCAGGAATATCACGAGAGGAACGCGCGGGTGCACTCGTTTTACTTCCGCGTGCACGTCCCGTAGTCTTTGTCCAGTCATCTTCAGACCTATAATATAAACATCAGATAATTATGTATTGGCTAAAACAATGAGGGCTAACAAAGAGGCACTAGTGCAGCGTGAGTTCTTCAAAATGTCAAATATCATCGTCAGTAAACGAATTTTGCGCTTATTTTGGGATATCTGAGATTAAATAAAGCAATTATGAATTACGGGTCAATTTATTTCAGTGCTTTAAGTCGCGCCGTCCGTTGAGGGAAAAAACGGTAGCCCAGATTAGCGTCTTTACTTTTGATTAGCTTCTTAAAATTTTAAAATGTTCATACGATCATTTTAAATTTTTCTCTAAAAAGTGTTATTAAATAAAATAAAAACCTATTTTTTTAATTAATTTAAATTTTCCCAAGAAAACAATCAGTCAGGTGTATAAACATGATTACTCCCGTGCAGTAATCATGTTTATTCACCTGACTAATAGTAGACAAAACGTTCTCGAGTTCGTCATGCTACGCGTGCATGTTTAAGTTATTGAAATGTGACGTCACACAATGCGCCGTCACGTTTCAGTTCTTGTAATCCACAAATTACAAATAGCAAGTTATTTTTGCAGAAATATTATATACTGTATATCTATTCTAACAAAAAATACTACACAGATAACATTTACATATAGCATATCATCTCTAATATATTATGTTCATAATTTATTGTTATAACCGCAATGTAGCCGATTAACTAAAGCTCTCTGTCTGCGAGCTTTGTGCAAAGTGATCACAGTTAAACAAATTTTAAACTTTACTATACACTATGTTTGATTTGATGTTTAAATATTTGCAAAAATGCGATAGAATTTATAAGGTCAGAAATGTCAAATGAAGTTCGATATTATAAAACATCCAACCATTTGCCACACAATACTAAATTGTATAAATTTGAATATATATTGTTTTTATTTTGTCTCATTTGAAACTATTTAAATTAAATAAAGGAAACATTTTATTTAAGATGTTCACAAATTTTATTTAGAAGTCTGAATATTTTGTTGCTTATTAAAAACTCACCGATTTCTATGTAAGTAAGTCCAGACAGCAGTTCTCTGGTCGTATTTGACGACGGGATCCCGTTTTGCAGTCTGTAAACGATCCAACGCAGAAGAGAGAGCACCCAGCAACGCTTGATCATTACAAGTTCCAATCCACTGTGACATTCTAAACAAGACATTTTATAATCTACAATCAAAGAAACAAACTACAATCAAAGATCAGACAAATTTCTATAATTATAATATTAACCCAATTTAATATTTAAATTTACTGTATACTTAAAGTTATTTAAGGATCTGTTCATGTTATAAGTTAATACTGTTCATGCTGTGTACACTGTTTTTAGATTATAGTCTAGTCCAAATACTTTAAATATTTTTTTTAGGTTTCTCTTTTGATTATGATCTGTTTGTGTACCATTTATAAATAAATAAATAAAAAAAAACTATAACGATGATCTAAGTAGCGGAGTGGTTCGCACGCCGGTTTCAAGGTGTCGCCATCTCTGAGGTCCCGAGTTCGATGCCCGGTCGGGTCAATGTAGAAAAGGGCTTTTTTATATTGTCTCAGGTCTGGATGTTGTGGTACGTTCCTTGTTTCAGATGCTCCTAATACAGGGGGGTTTACTTATTTAAAAAAATATAAATTTATTATATAAGTTTATTGACATAAAAATATTAATAAACTTATTTACCTTCACTAATAAGATAAGATAAGATCTTTATTTGCTAGAATACACTTAAAAGGTCACAAAAATAAATAAAGAGATACAGTATTCTACCTGAGAACAGGCGTGCAAATATTCTAATCATGCAATTTTCTTAAAAGCCAAAAATTCCTTCACACTATAGAAGCTGTGTTCCATAAGCCACTTTGTCAATTTTGATTTAAATTCATTAATATTAAAAAATTTCATGTCATTTGGTAAACTATTGTATATAATTATGCACATGTTGTATACATTATTTTTATAAATGTCCTTATGACAAGGAGGGTGGTACAATAAATTTATATATTTTTGTCTAGTTTGCCGGGGCATAACTTCAACGCGTTTAGTCCAATATTTGGAGTTGGAGTGAACAAATAAACATACATCTTTTATATACATACAGGGTAGAGGCAAAACATTAAGCTTCTTAAAAAGTGGTTTACAGCTATCATCAAACCAAGCATTGCAAATGACACGAATACACTTCTTTTGAACTCTAAAAACTCTGTCAAGATCAACAGAAGCTCCCCACAATAACAAACCATAGCTCAAAACAGACGACACATATCCATGGTATGCCATTAAAGCAGCTTCAACAGATACTGCTTGTTTCAGTTTTTTTATTGCAAATATAAAACGGTTTAATTTTCCACATATATGGTCAATATGTTGCTTCCAATTTAAATGTTTATCAATTAACATTCCAAGAAAACGTTCTGAGTCTACTTCGTCAATTTCAATATTTTTGTAATTAATTTTTACAGGTATAGGACTTGTGTTATATGATCTGAACTGGATTAATTGGGTTTTATTAATATTTAATTTTAAATTATTTGCATCTAACCATTTAGTGACATCTGATAATGCTGAGGTTATTTGACGTTGAAAAGAGTTGATATTGTTATTGTCACATTTAATGATTATCGTTGTATCATCTGCAAACATTATGCACTTGTTACTTGTGCTATGTGGCAAATCATTTATGTACACCAGAAACAGCAGTGGTCCAAGAATACTTCCTTGAGGAACGCCGGCATTTTTAATTTTAAGATCAGATCTATATGTTTGTTTTATATTAACTTTATATTTTTGTACAATTTTGCTTACCTCAGTAGTTTGTAACCTGTTTTTTAAAAAACTTTCTATCCATTCAAGATTTATTCAATAAATAACATCATTCTCTTTTATATGATGATAAATAGTTTTTACCTAAACAAAAATATAAATTTTGATATCTTGTTTCTAAACATAAATGATTTAATGGTTATTAATAAGAAACTTCGGCAAGAGCAAAATAATTAACTGATTTTTTTTTATTTGTTTGTGAATTTTAATATCTATATAGAAAGGTCTCACAAAATGTATTTTTCAGATTGGCTGTCATTAACCTAAACTTTCAAAAAGTTTAGGCTATCTAGGTCAACAATTAATCAAAGACTCATTATCATCATCGTCATCAGCCCTTTATTTCGTCCGCACTGCCGGGGCTCAGGCCTTTCTTAGGGATGGTTAAGGAGCATGGGCCATGACCCTCCACGCTGGCCCAATGCGGATTGGCAGGTTATAACGACTACAAATGCAGCCGGGACCAACAGCTTAACGTGCCTTCCGAAGCACTATAAGATATAATAATTTTTTGGTCACCAATCCCGTGACCGACCCAATCCATCCCGTAATCAACGTCTAATCTAGATTATATCTAGTATGTATAGACTACAAATTATCTCACCTGAGCAACGTGAGGATATCATGTCGTGTCCCTTCACCATTAGGTAGTCTGGCGACGGCGTCTCTGACGAGAGATATGAAGCTAGCGTGTCGCGGCCGATCAGACACCAGTAAGGAACCCTGAGTGCCGCAAGATATCGACGAGCGAGCACACGGACCGACCACGGAGCAGTACCTAAAACGTTCAAAGATTATAAAATGTTCAATAGAAATCAAATCTATTTACTACCATCATCATCAGCCCTTTTACGTCCCCACTGCAGGGGCTTAGGCCTCCCTTATGGATGGTTAAGGAGGATGGGCCATGACCCTCCACGCTAGCCCAATGCAGATTGGAGGGTATTAACGACTGCAAATGCAGCTGGGACCAACGGCTTAACGTACCTTCCTAAGCGCGGAGTAGCTCGAGATAATAATTTTTTGGTCACCCATCCCGTGACCAACCCTTGCGAAAGTTGCTTAACCACAACGATCGCAGGCCGCGGCGCTTATCAACTACGCCACCGGGCTACTCTTTACTATATACTGGTTAATTTGACCAGTATCGTTGTAAACGAGATAGAATTAATTACTCACTATCGATAAATTTAATAAAAAAAAAAAGTTACATAATTAATAACTAAAGAATGTGGTTGTATCGATACTATAGAACTTCGATAGACGTGAAACTTTAGGAACCCGATAATAGCGATAATATCGATATCATGCACTCATAGGAACACAAAGAACATCATTCAAAATAGCACATGAATAATATTATGTACTTAATTTTAAGAAATTACATAATTCAAGTAATAACATCTTGAGAACTACTATTTTTTATATGCACAAAACCAAATTCTTACCCGTGTTGGATATAAGTAAAAGGTTTCGCAGCTGTAGAGAATCGACGCCTTTCTTGGGCTCTAAAATCCGTTATTTCTGCAGGCGTTGGTGCCTTCATTACCCATGAAGTAGGATACCTAAAGAATAATCAATAATCGATCTAATACATGTAGTTTATGGCCAACAACTTCATCATCAATGGCCAACGAATGTAAAACAAGCAAACAACATGAAATCCGATGACCGATGATGAAAATGATGTTGCGATGGTGTAATCTCTGCTCACTTAGAGCTCACGAGAATCATTGTGACGTTATCATCTAGAGTGCCTCAAGGATCAAACTTTGGACCTGAACTTTTTTCAATTTATATAAACAATATTGGTATCCAGTTCTAATCATAACTTAATATTTGATGTCGCGATAACTTATAAACTTCAATTATGACGCTTGAGATTTGTGTGTACTTTCGTCACACAATGAAACAAAATCGTCCGCCCGCACTACCGCACCGTAATCAATTAAGAGAATCTCTACTCAAAAACTTAAACGCTACTTAAAATATAATGCTACTAATTAATATTCATTAATTAATTATTAGTTATCTAATAAATCGAAATATAATTATGAATACATTAATAAACAAATAATAACTGGCTTACAAATAATAAATAGTACACCCTATGGGTACAAAGAGTATTCAACCTACTAGTAAAAAGTTAATCAAGCGAGTAACCTCATTAGTAACCACACAGCTGAAGCAAAATGTTTCTGGTTAAATGCTCTTCTAATTTCCTTTTTATTAATAACTTGGGGAAAAAGCGTTTTCGCATTTTATATGAAAATTCAAAACATTTTTGAAAAAAGTTTATTAACATTTAACTTAAGGTTTAGGTACCATTTTGTTCGATAATATTTTGCCATCTTGTTGATAGAGACATAATACCATTGCTACAGAAATTTTGGGGCTTCTGATCAAAAAACAGTGACGAATGAATAATGAATAATATTGAGTATACATACCTGGGGGGTGGGGGATCGTTGGAGGGCGGGCTAGGCGAGACGGAACGGAGCCAGCGGTCGCATAAGCGGCCCAGTATAGAGTCGCAATCACGACCCGCGCCTATCCACTGGTACATCTACATTACCACCATTACGTTACCAAACATCGGAATAATATCTTTACTAATAAATAATAATTTATCAAGCCAAGTCCAATCAAAATAATCTTTATTCAAATAGGACTTCTTAAAAGTACTTTTGAATCGTCCAACATCTCATTTTCCTACCGCTCGTTCAGGACGTCTTTTGGCTCCGGCTCTAAATGGGAGTAACGACATTCACTAATCCATGTCATTACCAAATCAATACATAATATATAGAGAGAAAAACCTTATATGATGAAGACATGATACTTAAATAATGGCAACAAAATATATTTTGAGGTCTAAAGAGTTTAGAAGAAATCAACTATTCAGTTGCTGGACCATCTTAAGTCCAAGCATTCTTATAATAATCTTTTAAAATCTAAATTAATTAATTAATAAAAATCTAGATTTAAACTGTAAATTTGATTGCTATCCCTCCAAAATTCCCACACCTATGAGAAACTACATCATACACAGGTGAAATAGTTTAAAATCTGTTTGGGCGAAATCGCAGTAAAACCGCTTGTAAATGTATATTTATACAACACTGAAAATCCACCATTACTAAACTATTAACAAAGTTATTGAATATTCCTTCTTAAAGGTAATATGGTATTATATAATGTGAAACAAAATTGTATGGAAAGTCATTGTTCTCAGATTTTTATAATTCTTTCTGACTTGCATTTAAACAATACATAATGGTTTGTCCAAACATTATAGTTTGTAATTTGTAACTATTATTTCTATTATAAATATTGTGGGTCACATAATTCAGTTATTGGAAGTGCAAAACTCATGTTTTAAAACAATAATCTTTCAAATTTATCTAACTTAGGCTCCATAAAAGCATTTGGATTAAGTCGCTTGTAACTGACATGTATACGGCACCACATCGAGTTAATAAAAGAGAACTCTTTTAAGAATTTTGTACATTCATTTTTCATTTCATTTTCAACATTATAATATTACAGATATTCATTGATATATAATAAATGCATGGGTAAAATTTTATAAGACTTTTAATGTCGCATAAACTATTAATAGCTTCTAATTAATAAAAAAAAACATATTCATTACATTATGAGGAGCTCGATGGTGCGCAGTGGTTGGTGGTACGCGCTCGGTCTGCGATACGATTGTTAAGCAACTTTCGCAATGGCCGGTAATAGGATGGGTGACCAAAAATTTACTATCTCAAGCTCATCCGTGCTTCGGAAGGCACTTTAAGTAGTTGCTCTCAGCTGCATCTGCAGTCGTTAATACCCACCAAGTGAGTCTTGGCCATTTCTCCCTATTCGATTTCATTGTATTCTATCCATAGGGAAGGTTTGAGCCCCAGCAATGTGGATATTAATAGGCTGGTGATGATGACTAACTTGTGTCTCTGGCAAAAACTGCAAATATGGCACAAAGTCATCAGGGTGTGGTCCTCTTTCTCCAGCAAGGAAATCCAAAGCAGAATCCAGTTCAGAACACCAATCATCGGATACTAAAAAATTAAAAGAGCAATTTTTAATCGAAATTTATCATTCGCATATATGTGATAAGACAATATTACTGCCTCAAAAACATTGTCAATATTCGAAAATATATATATAGCACAGATAGTATCTTTCATTTTCATAATAACTCCATAATCATGCACTTTTAGTATATAACATTATTATAATTATAAAACTATATAACATTATAAAACTTGATACTTACAGTTGTACCAAGTATTGAGTGGCGCTATAGGAGATTTCATCACAGCAGTACATCTCGAATGTAACTGTTGCTTAGAAGCCCTATGCGCCGCCCTGGCTGGAAATAGTGCCCGGACCAAAGACAAGAAGTTAGCGTGTGTTGTCTCTGTCAGTGATTCATCCGCGTCTGCTATGTGATCCTCTCCTTCTCCTGATGTATCCACAGGGATCACCTCCCCAGAGTCATCAGCTAATTCCACAGGTAACGCCATCATATCTATATATAAAAATATAAGTAAAAAAACTGTTCAAATTGTATCTGAAAACAAAACTTAGGGTTTATTTTCAGGCTTACAATGGTTTATTTATGCTGGTGAATAGGCTATTTGACAACTTTTTTATTTCATGAATAAATAGTCCATTAACATCTGAGAAATAATGTCAAAGTAACAGCATATCTGCGATTAATAGTTTCGGAGATACGGTGCTGTTTGTAGAACTGCTGCTAGTGGCCGAAAACGCTCCCTACAAATTCAAGGCACTCAATGACGTCACACGGTGCTACAGTAGCGAAAAATGTATGGGCGTCTGGACAATTTTTGTAATATCTTTGTTATTTGAGCGTTTATGTTTATAGCTGTTATAATGAAAGTTTTATCTAATTTAATACCTTATGTATTTTAGCAAATTTTTGTAGTAGATTTTTTCTACTTTTTTCAAGTTTTCAAAGCTAAATATTTTCCAAATCAGTGACTTAAAATTTATTTTGTTAAACATTTATAAGTTAAAATGGTTTATATTTATCGAAGATACCTATATTTTCACTTGTAGGACACAAGCCTATTGCAACATTCCAAAAAGTGCATTTAAAATCTTATTTTATTACATATTCCGCCAGCGGCTTCGCCCGCGTGGTCTTGTATTTTACATAAAAACCTTCCTTTTGAATCACCATATCGATTAAAAAACCGCATCAATATCCGTTGCGTAGCTTTAAAGATTTAAGCATACATAGGAACAGAGAAAGCGACTTTGTTTTATACTATGTAATGATTTCACTTTGCAATAAGTAATGCAGCAGAATGATACTAATGACTTTCATATAATAACAATCATAGTATTAAATAATATTTTATTACCAATTCCATCCAAATCTTCTAACTTAATTGGGACTGGTTGAACTAATCTTGCAGAATTCTGATTGGCATGCGAAATATCTGGAGGCTCTTGTTTTATAGCATTTTCTAATTTAGCATCATTAAATTTAACGCTGAAAAGACACATAAAAATTTAAATGTTTTAGAATGCCTATCCAAAAATATTCTTTGTGCAGAGTATAGGTGTAGACGGTAAACGAAATTAAACACTTTTTTTGTAGTAGTGTTTATTATAACTATTACCGATTATATTATAAAAATATATATATAGTCGTTGTCGCATGACCGTAGACAGCGCGTGACGTCACGCCCCTCTCACTCATATCAGAACTTAGAGAATTGAACCATATTCATAGTAGAACGATATTAGTTTCAGAGAGCCATGACGACATAGCGACGCAATGACAGAAGTTAGCATTTCGCAGAATATTTTGAAAGCTAAATTTAAAACTAAATTAAAACGTTACAGGTTATTTTATATGAAAGATACTTGTAAAATAAAAATATGAAAAAAAAAATTGTCTAATAATATTGTTAATAACTTATGAAATAATACCAACTTTGATGATGAATACTTCATATCAGATTCTTGTTTGATTTCAACATGATCTGTAGATTTTTTGGAATGTTTTGGACTTGCCACAGGGTCTACGAATGATGAACTTTCTGAGTCTGACTCTTCTTGTTCACATTTAATTTTGATATTAGGCAATAAAGGTTTTATATCCACACTCTCATCTTCTATCTTCTTAGCATTTGTCTTAGCTTCATGTGCTTTGATTTTCTGTGATGTTTCTTTTTTAGGACCTCTTTTTAACTTTTGGCTTGTGTTATCAGATTTTTGCCCTCCAAACATTAGTTTCTTACTACTGCCATTGACAATAGCAACTCTTTGCTTTATATCATCAAGTGTTAGCCCTGTTGTGTTTAGCTCTGGATGATTCTACAATGCATATCAGTATATAAATAAAATGCAAAAATTGCAAGTCAAAAGATTAAACGATAAAGCAAAGAATATAATTACTTCTCTATATTGTCTCCGTTGTCTATGAGCAGCTAATATATTTTTCAAGCAATCCATTGAAGTTGGGTGCGATGTATCTGATCCCCCTAACGTTCCCGACACATTACCATCTGCAGTCTGAAACAATTTATAAATATGTTTTGTTGTATGATTGTTAGGTTTTTTTACTCAACTTGGCAATAATAAAGTTTTAATTTTGAGTTGACTGACTAATAATATATTAATATATGTTTTAGTGGCATGGTGTGCTTTGAAGAGGCCATATATCGAAATTGGGGGGAGGGTAAACATTTTTGCATATACGCATTAGAGACTCCTGTAGCCTTATGGCATCCTAAAATTAATGATTTGTACAGGTTTATATCTGGGACAGACATTGAGGTATCACCTTTCATTGTGAATGCAAAATTGATCATCTGATATACTATTACTTATCAAGTCAAATTGGAAAATCAGGGCTTATAATAATTTGGTATATTATAATAACTATAAAAATTTAAGTGAACTCATATTGGATTACAAACACAATAACCTATATTGGATGTGAAGTCAGATAACAAACTGTCTACTGACAACAAGATGTTAACATAAAAGTCAATATCAGGCCTGGATCAACAACCTTTTTCAACTGAGGCTGTATGTACAGTATCCAACTTTGGGGAAGTACAAGTAAATCAAATATCACAATACTTTAGAGAATACAGAATATTATTTGAAGGCAAATTTTTGTACCTTTGTTTGTTAACAATTCAGAGATCCACAAACATTTAGATGTAAATACTGTGGATGAAGACATACAGATGTCTACAGACATATACCATAAACGGCTCAAGAAACACCCAAATGCACTTGCTCTCCATCCACTCTTATTACGGATGAGTAAGTGAAGTCTTAAGAGAAAAGACATTTAAATGAGAGAAAGAGTAGATATCCTCTATGGAGGCTATGCTCTACATGTCAAATACAAAATATCTGCTTATAGTTTGATACTGATTGCGAATTTAAGTAAGTAATTTACATGAAAACAACACTTGTATGAGTATGAAATACTCACAACTCCAATGTTCATTTGCTTTCGTTTCCTTGAAGTTTGCTCTGGTGGACCCTCAGGATAGTTTTCATCTTCTGATTTTTCACCACCAACTTCACTTTGTATTGCTGCCAGCTCCTCGAAGTATCTTTGTTTAGCACGTAGGTATAAAGGTTTATAGTTGTTCTTGGCTGAAGGTTTAGGAGGCATAAGTGGTAAGCGAGGTGCGGGTCCTGGGGGTGCTGCTTTGGCTGCAGCTAATAATCTTTCACGAGATATAAGCACTTCAGGCAATAGTCTAGAATAATATGATTTAATCTGAAAATAAAAAGATAAACTATTAGAGACAACTATCAAATATGGTTTTTTTTTTGATAGAGAAAATTGTTTGGGAGGTCCAAGGTCCACCTTCAAAAATAAAAATATTAGAAGTACCCTTTATATTACAGTATTTGTATTTTTTTAAATAGTTCAATGTCATTTCACAGTTATTTTATTTTTTGTATAATTTTTATAGGTTTATGAATGCCTTTCTATATTTTAAAAATTGTTGCCAGTCACTATGGATACTTGAAAAATTTGTTAGTCCTATTGGGTCCTTGGTAACTCAGTTATTAGAGAAGTCGCCCAGATTGCAAAAGATCGTGGGTTCGAGTGTAATCTCAAAGCTGGAGCTGATGGATTTCTTAAGCATTTTTCATTAAAAATATTTTTAGTGCATTGCTTTATTTTATTAGCTTTATTTAACAAGTTCTTCATTGGATTTATTTGACCAATGTAACATAAATCTTCCATAAGTTTTGTCTTTTAGTTCTGTACAGTATTGTGTATCCAAAAAAATAGAAATCCTTGAACTATTTTAACTGAATAATTGGCCTGAACTAATCATAAAACAATAGAGAAAATGATGCCGAATACACCTCATACCAAACAAATATTTGTTGCATCTCCAAAAATTATAAATTATTTATTACTTTTTCTTCCATCTGCAATCTGCAATTTATATCTGCAATCAGGCCAACAGCTTTTAGTATTTGTTGTATTTCATTGGTTAAAGCCCTTTAGCCTATGATTTGGCTTACTATTATTATACATCATTTTATTTATATTGAAGCCAGCTAAGCCCTCTTTAGACAGTATATGGCATTGCAGTATCCAACATAATATCTAATATAAATTTTAACACTACTTTCAAGAAACAAATATTAAAGATATTTATAAATATTGAGAAAATTTATCAATAATAATACCTTATGTCTTTGCTGTTTTGCTCTAGCTTTCATGAGAAACTTTCTCATCTTAGCTATGTCAGGTCGATAATTTCCTTGTCTTAAATTACTATAAAAATTGTTTAAAGGTGATGTGAAATGAAAAGGCTCATGGTTAAATAACATCTTGATTGTTTTATCCCTTTCCTCTTCTTCATTCTCTGTAAACTTGGGTAGATACTTTATCAATTGCTCCTTATGTTTGTCTTCCAATGATTCCCAAGTTTTCATTGAGAAAAATTCTTTAAAAACAGAAAAATCTTCACAAAGTTCTTGAGGAAGTTCAAAAGATTGTCCCAAAATTCGAACTGGTTCCATTACCTCATCTTCACCGTCTGAGCTCCCACTAGACGTTTCTGATGAACTGCTGCTCTCTCCACTGAAACTCTGTTCACTCTCCATATTACCGTCTATGCGTAAAACAAGGGCTTAAGGTCGCACCCGCAGTTTTGCTCCGTCAAACAAAGATATTTCGATGACTACATTGAGATTTCGCTTTAATGTGTACTTGTTGTTGACGAAAAACCGAAGCGACAGTACATACAGTAAAGTCAATTATTAGATCATGGAGCTTTTTTGATCAGCCGTCAAGTCTTTTCTAAAATAAAATAGAACGCACACGCCAAAGCACAACGTTTCATACATAGTAGGCGCCAGAACGGCACATTTCGACGAGAAAATAGCTTGACAATCAGCAACAGCGACATTTTGCCGAAGCGGGACAATCTAAAATGAAAATAAAACAGATTGTCTATGACTGTTATTTTTCGGACTTTCGCTTGACTTTCGGTTTAAAAAATGATGAGCGATATCAGTTGCGCAATCTCTCGTGCACGGATATTAATTTAATTATCTAATTAATTATTTTATTGCCAAACCATCAAAATATATTGAATTTCACAAAAAATATGAAATATCGCTTCTATATAAACAAGCGAATAACTCCATGTTGTAGTTGTTAGCGTGTTTCAACTGCGATAGCGGAGAAGGCCGGTCCATATAGATTACCGGGTAGATTGATTTCATCAATTAAGAATAACTAAGCTTTAACGCCACTAATCCGTATTGAGACCTCTACGTTAGTTAAGAATGATGGGTGGATTGACTTGATGTTGAAGTAGTCAGCGCATTTCACCTGCAAACTGTTTCTACTCCACCACGAGCATCCAAAAAAAAATGTTCAGCCAACCCATTACCGGCTTAAGCGAACTTCGCTTAATCTTCGTAATCGAAGTCAAACGTACGTACTAACCAATGGTACACACAGGAGAAGGGAAGAGAGCAAAAACCCGACACATCCCTCTAAGCTAAAAAAATTATCACCGCCAAATCTTCGCTATCGCAGATCAAACGCTACCTCAATACATTTTATAGGGGCGCGTGATTCATGCGATAACGCCCATCGATATCGAATTACACGTAGAGCCTAGATCTAAGTAATAAAAATATGAATAGTATCTAAACTAAATAATAGAAATATATTTATTGTAACAAAAGTTTTACAAGATTATTGTGTACGATAATAGCCGTGGCAATTAAAAAACAGAACCATATGAAAAGTCTCACATAACGAAGATGTTATTCACTATATTTTAAAGAGACAAATAGGTTCTGTATTTTACAAATCGCGTAGCCCTGCGATTTTGTAAAAATCCGAACCCGAATTCGCATTTACTCAAGTGCCCGAATTAATTTCAAAAAGCGGGCCTGCATGAGTGCTCGGTCCTGTACTCGTAGCATGACGAACTCGAGAACGTTTTGTCTACACCCAAATGTCACTTTTCTCGGGTGCGTCCATACGATATCTCACACTCGACACAAGAAAGTGACATTTGGGTGTAGACTAGCGTTTCTCGAGTTTGTCATGCTACGCGTGCTGTTATAATAGTAAAAAGTACTATCTACGTCCATGAAGCGACCATATACTTTACTCTTTGGACCATTATCTATGCTTACTATACTCTTTACTGTGGACGATGGTGGTGTTTGGGGTTTGTCGTAGTTTTGACTTTTTGACGTAAATTATTCGTAAATATGGCTGACGAACTCAATGTTGACAGTCTAATTCACAGACTTTTAGAAGGTAAAATTTATCAAATATCTATTTACAATAGTTTCTTTAGTTCTTTTACTTCCATGTACTCAAATTAATATATGATCCATGCTCATTATATTCTAAGTTGCGTAATTATCATCGAGTATTGTAAAGGTACTGAAACGTCAAACTCATAAATAAATCGATTATCCTCAATTTCTTATTTGATCCTCCATTTGATGTATGTAGCTTAATAATAGATGTCGGCAACAGTTACTCTATATCCTGTATATATAAACAAATTAAGGGAACTAATGGCAGAGTAACCCTCTGCTAAATAGGTTGTAGCTTGGAACACCTTTCTGGCTCTATTGTTCTGCTTTATGCACATTATAATTGATTTAAATATGTTTATTTTACTTTATTACGCTGCATATTGATGGGTCGCAACAGTATACAGACTGCAACAGGAATCTGCAAGGCGAAAAGGGAAATTGAAAGACATCTTTTCAGGAGAATGTATGGTTATACCCAGAATTCTTGTGGATGGAAGTATTGAGCTAGAAATCTTTATTTTGTTTTTCCTTTAGTGATCAATCTTGACAATTGATAATCCACTCCCCTGTGTCTTATATTAACTGTATTTTTTCACTAATGAATCACCTGACTGATTAATGTCCTATTAATGGTGGGTATTACAAAAGTGCAGTCTTGTATGTACAATATAAAATATATATTTGCAAAATGTAATTGACAGTGCTCATTATTTTATTCAATGTTTATATATCATGTTTTGTCTGTAGTTTCATAAGACCTTTTATATTATCTATCTATTAAGCATGTAAGTACTGCAGGAATTGTATGTAAAATATCTACCTATGAAACAATAACATTTATTCATTTTTATTATTTAAGAGGAGTGTAAGTCAGAATGATCAACTGAAATTATGATTTTAGAGTTTTTGCTTCTTGTATAAGCTATTCTAGCATGTGGTATTGATCTTGTTCATCAAAGTTGTGTTTCAATTTATTTACTAGTAATGCTGTGTATTGTTTTGTTATATGTTGGTAAGACAATTTATGGTAATTTGTCTTATTTATTATGAGAATATTACTTTTGTTATGTCTATATATGTATTTGTTTGTCATTTCTTATGATTATTTATTTATTACACAAGGATTTTTTGCTGTCATATTAATTATTGATATTCATTAGGTGTCTAAGTTCAGCTACCATTTTTTAACTTTGAATATGTATATCATGTGAAAATACTACCTGACCATAATATTTTAAATCACCACTTCATATAAATCTTGCATGCTATTCAGTTAGTAGCTACTGTCTTGAACATGTTTATAATGGTGTCAATTTGAATGTATAATATTCATACAGCTTTTCAATGAAAATATGATTAAAGCTTTGAAATATTATTTAATTTAAATGAAGTCAGAATTGACATCCATTAATATTTGCAAAATCAGGTCTTAGATTTAGATGTTAGTTGACATATTTTGTATTGTTATAGTTCGAGGATGCAGACCAGGAAAGACAGTGCAGATGTCAGAGTCGGAGGTTCGAGGTCTTTGTACCAAATCCAGGGAAATATTCTTACAGCAGCCAATATTACTGGAATTGGAGGCGCCACTCAAAATTTGTGGTATTTAAATATATCTTTACATATATTAAGCAGTTAACTTTATATGGGAACAGGGTCCTATTTAATAATGGCCCATAATGTAATTGATATTTAAAATATGCTCTTTAAAAGTGGAATTTATTTGTGTCTTCTAAATACTCCTTAATAAATAATTATTTATGAATGTGTTCCTATGTCATAAGCTATTAATTTTGTAGTTTTAAAGTAAAGCAGCTGAATCTCATTGTAATGAATAATAATTGGTATCTCTCAAAACCAGTAGTGCATTATGAGAACTTTACATGTCATCAACTATCCCTAGTGACAATTTCTGTAAGCCCATCATTGGGCTTTTAATTAGTGAACAAGACTTGCTACTAAATTTAAAGCAGGATCAATTTTTTATATGCATCCATGAGCTACAACTTAACTGTTATTGATGAATCAAGAAAGGTGTTGTGTACACAAAAAAACCTATTGACAACTCTCTCTGCACAGATTGTTCTTCTAGGAACTGTAGGCATCAGATGCAAGTTTAAATAAGATGCCCAAGGGTCACTCTGCTCATGGTCACGTCCTTGTTACTTGGTTGTCAACTTTAGTTTTTTTTTTTTATATTTATAATATATACATGTTCTTTAATCATGGTATAAAACTTTATGAGAAGTTCTGTTACAATTTTAAAATAATATTATTCTACATGGACTTAAGTAGTGCTTTTTAATCTACTTTGAACCAGCTAAATAAGACATTGCTCATGGATGCGTTATATCATATCTGATTTATCTATTTTTTTATCTATATTTATAAAAAAATATTATAGTATATGTTTTTGCGTATTTACTATGTAAAATTAACATTTTATTTCAATGAATTCAATATGAGATTGTTTTGAGATATAAGCTAATGACAATATAGTTTAATTATATCTAATTTAACAAACTGCCAATTACCTCCAATGGATTTTTTAAATGTCGAAATGCAATCAAATTGGTTTCTAAACTTTGATGCATTAAGTTTCATTTTAAATTTTAATGCACTGAAGGTTAGACCCACAGACAACAGATATCTTTGGATGGTATGTCTCAGAAGGTGTGATCTATTTGCTTTGATAGTACACTTAATATTTAAAAAAAAATCTAGAGTATCCTAAGAAGCAAAAATCCATGTATAGACTGATACGAATGACTTCCACTGCTATTGTACGCATATCATACCATATGATCCTCTAGGGACAGCTTTAACAAGATTAAACGCACAAACGTCCAATTGAGGTTTAATGACGACTTTATGCTCTAATGAATGTTCTTAATTTGAAAATTTGTGTGGGTAATGTGGCATTAAACTAATGAGAATTTTTATGGACGTTGGTGTAACTGACTAAGATGAATGAGAAGAAAAATTGATGAATGAAAAGTGATTGAAAGACGGAAAGACGACAGACAGATTGCAGATTGCAGATTGGATCACAAATGTATTGAGGAATACAAAAACAATTTGTTTATTTGGCAATAAATCTGCTAAGGCGATTCCTAAGTTTGGGCGCCTTGGGCGTTTTCTAGTTTTCTAGACAGTCTTATTTTTTTTTATTTAATAAAGTCTACCACTGAATACTTTTGCAGAACCACCTTTGATCAACTTATAGAAAATAAGCTATTCCACAATTGTAATCTAAATACATTGTTACTTATTCCTTACCACTTAATTTTAAATCAATAAATAATAATATGGTTTTCAGGTGATATTCACGGTCAATACACAGACTTATTACGTCTGTTTGAATATGGAGGTTTCCCACCCGAGGCGAACTACTTGTTTCTGGGCGACTACGTGGATCGCGGCAAGCAATCACTTGAAACTATATGCCTCTTGCTTGCTTACAAAATTAAATATCCAGAAAACTTCTTTCTTCTTCGAGGCAATCACGAATGTGCTAGCATAAATCGTATTTATGGTGATTATAACTTTACACAAGTTAATTAACGTCAATGTCTACGGAAATTATATTGTCGTTATAATTTATTTACAGGTTTCTATGATGAATGTAAACGCCGTTACAATATAAAACTGTGGAAGACGTTCACAGACTGCTTCAACTGTTTGCCCATAGCTGCTATCATAGATGAAAAGATATTCTGCTGCCATGGAGGCCTCTCACCTGATTTGCAGGGTATGGAGCAAATAAGACGAATAATGAGACCAACAGATGTTCCTGACACAGGTAATATTTAGTATTCTTATATTTAACTGTGAATTTGCATGATGATGTTATAAAGTATTTACATTAAAGCATGTGTTGTTTCCATAGCTTTTAAGTGTCCATCAGCCTGGCAGCGCCACCCTCTTGGATTCGGAAATTAATTGTTTGACTCATCAAGTCCAAATTTTTTACAAACAGTATCCTTGCCTATTTTCGGCAAACTGATATATTAAATAATTTATAGCTGATGATGACTTTAGTTTTTCCAAGGTTTCTGCCTCTATAGACAATAAGTAACAGGTCTAACAGGAGTTTATGTCCCATTGAAGTTCTTAAGTAATATAAAAAAGAAATTATTATATTTGATCAATTTTGCATTCAAAATGCTATACTGAAAAATATTCTTAATGCTTTTTTTGTCTTGTCATTTCTGATGTAAAAACAATGGGAAGTTTTTTATAAATTTTTGTTTATGTACGTTTAGAGCTCCCTTGGCCCGGGGGCCCGGTAAATTTATACGACAGATAACGGCGGCAGTTACGCCCCTGCTCCGTATCCTCATACGAAATTATTTGCTAAGTTTCTTCAATCTTTAACTTACAATTTCTAATAACGCATTTCAATTTAGTTTTTGAGTGTAAACTTTTATCCTTTCGTCTTTTAATTTCTGTGTCTTTTATTAGTAAGATCAAACATCTCCCATTCCGTGAATATCTCTAGTGTTGCTCTAGAGATGAAAACTCGCGTATAATAAATAATGTAAGAGATCTCAGTAACCACTTAACGCTCCATCTATTCCAATTGTATGCTCTATGCATGATCTTGATTGAAAAAAAATATATGTGCTGCTTTATGTATAAAGTTGTGGTAACAAAATGTTCGCTTTATCAAAAAAATTTAACATGTTTTTTATTGTTTTAAAATGGAAACGTAATAATATAATTTACCAAAGAGAGAAACTATTTTGGTTGACGCTATTTCTACGTTATAGAAGCTTCAGAAGTAAACAAGTATAAAAATTGGTAAATATGAATCACAATGCTGTATTGTTAATTAGAGTCACATGTTACCCAAGACAAATTAATGATTCATGGTCATTGTCGTACCGTAACAATACGTTGACGTTTTCATACGGTTTGACGATGAATATAAATTGACAGCTAGCAGAGGAAGAAACGTCATCGTTTAAATCACAAGGCAGAAACAAGATTAGTCATGAAAGATCGTTGAATCCGAGATTTACGGTCTTCCCACAACTTTTCCTTAGTTATCCCATCCCACTCGACTGATTTTGTAGCGAAGTTATTTTTCGTCAAAACCATTATACTGTGGAACTCTTTGGCTGTAGTTATTAGACGTGCGCAGTCTCGGGACTCGTTCGTGAAACAAGTCAAGGACTATTTCCTCAGGCTGGATCTTTCTTCATTTTAGTACTTTGTCTCTCCTTTAATCTGTTCCTTTTTTTCTCTCCTTTTTCTCGTTAAGAATATTTTTTAATTTAATGCACTAACCCGTTATATTTGTACTTGGTTGGTATCGTTTCTGTTAGTCAAAGGTTGCCTAGTAGAAATTGCTACGCTAGCAATAAGGCCGCCTTTTGCATATATGTTTATTTCTTTCTGTTTTATGTGTTTGTTTTTAGTGCAATAAAGTGTTAATCAATCAATCAATCAAGATAGGTGATACTACAGCATCACGATTTTGCTTTTAATACGTTCACGATTTTGCTTCCGTAATTAACTGTTTTGAATACTGTTTTCATAGTTAGCTGCTAGCGTAGCATGACGAACTCGAAAGATAAGAAACGGTTCGAGAGTGACATTATTGTATACGGTGTATTCGTCTTGTCGTTATTCATTGTGATGATATTTTTTTGCTATAGCCTAAGCACTACGCGTATACCTTTAGATAAGATGAAAACATCGATATATTAATTGTCATTCGGTAAAAGCTGACAACCACGCCCGTTTACCTACACTTATTTTTAAAATCTATTTATTTATTAAACCTATAAATCAATTTCGTTGTTTCAGGTTTACTCTGCGACTTATTATGGTCAGATCCGGATAAAGATGTGCAAGGCTGGGGAGAGAACGATCGCGGAGTATCATTCACTTTTGGACCCGACGTCGTTAGCAAATTCCTCAACAGACACGATTTAGATTTGATATGCCGTGCTCATCAGGTATATTCAACTCCTAATAACAGGATCATAATGTTACAAATATTAATTTGCTTCGAAAACTAAGTCTCGGCAATATTTCTGCAATATCCAAATTTTATAAAAAATAATCTGGTATCTGCTTTGCATCTCTGGAGGTGTACTTTGTTTCCCCAAAAACAATATTCCGGATAATTTATTCTGAATATCTGATACCTGTCTCGCATCTGTTTTGTTGTTACAGATTTCCATAATTAAAGTGCTTTAGCTACTTAGTTTGAGATCTGAATTGTGGGCAATGTATGTGATGATGTCTAATATTTATAGTTATTATTATTAAATAGAAACCTGCTTTTAATTAATTTAAATGTTCAGAGCTCACATAAAAAATGCAAAAATGATATTTATTACGGTGTAAAGTGTTTCTATTAAACTTGACTTATTTTTGCCTACCAGCTTATTTAAATGAATGCAATTTACATTCCACAGGTAGTAGAAGATGGCTACGAATTTTTTGCAAAGAGACAGCTGGTTACCTTGTTCTCAGCACCCAACTACTGTGGTGAATTTGACAACGCCGGTGGTATGATGTCTGTTGATGAAACACTCATGTGCTCCTTCCAGGTTTGATATGTTACTATTTTATTATAAATCTCCTTTTACTGTTACACCACAAAACATTATTCAATATGCAAGATTATTATATATTTCTTGCTATTATTGTTAGCTAAAAGCTAGTCGTGCTTGCTATGCTGGTTATTACAGCTTGTCACTTGGTGATGACTAGATGTTGATATTCAATTGGACATAGTTAATCAAAAAGGATCCATCCCACACAATGTCACTTTTGAGATATAGACGATTGAAGTTTTAAGCTGTATTTGCATGTTGATATAACATTTTTGTGTATTATATTTTTATCTAATAGTATAGAAAACCACTCATTTTAACAGAACTAGCAATATTTATAAAAATATAAAGGTTAAAGTATGTTTGGATCCTTTTTGATATATTTAGGTTTTAATTATCTTATTCTTCGAAACAAATCTCAAAAACGATCCAAATGAAGAAATAATAGAATAATTAACTGAAACGCCAAAATTTAATCAAAAAAACAATTTATTAAAGGTTTTTTATATTTATTGTTTTAATTTTTAATGTCAAATGTATTCTCACTATCTGAAATCCCATACCTTGTAACAAAAATGATTCAAGCATTTTGAATCTTTATTGTGATTTTTAACTAAGATTAGTGCCTTTAATTTGCTATTTTACTATATGGATCCAAGAAGCTTGAGTCGTTTTCATGGAACTAAAATATGAACCTACCAAAGATGTGGGATGGTAACTACCATTGAAAAAAACGTCAAATATTTAATACAGCTCAGAGCTTTTTTCCTTAAAGAAAGTATCGATCCTGATGGACATTTTGGTATATTTAATTCATTTTCGACCAATTTGTGGGTTGGATCCTTTTTGAGTAACTACGTCCAATTATCAAATATATTTCCACGAGAAATTTGATTACTAGATTATTTATTTGTTATGTACAAATGTTTAGACAATAGATTTTCAACATAATTAATTATTATTTTTAAATATTATTATTAAATTTGTTTAATTGATGTTGTGGAGTCGAATCTAGTTCAATAGTAGACGATTATTTCATGCCGTAGTCATGAGCAAGTGAGCTGTCATATAACCCCTAAACTAGCGCCATCTGATATACAACTTTAGTGCAGCTGCCATTGATGTATTTGAGTACAGTAGTTACAATGAGGAAATATAAAAAAAACGAAAGCACTAAAAAACCACCTCCACTAGATGGCGACTCTAGCAAAAGTTGATTTTTGCAGGAAACGAATGGACCAAAGACAGTCATTTCCGTTTCTTTTAACTAACATATTAAAGAACAGAAATTTGAAAAATTTGAAACTAAGATATCAATACAAATACGAAAAAGTACAAAAAGAATATGAGTTGCTTTAAAAACCGGAAAGGTTGTCATGGAGAAATCAAGAAAGTACTGAAGCGACATCTAGTTTGATTTCGGGAACTAATGCTTTTTTTTAAATACTTCCTCATTTAAATAAAAGATGTATTCATTCATTCCACCCATCTATTTAATCTAGTTGTCCTATAAAGCATATTTTTCAGTCTACCTATGCTTAAGCAGTGAACTTGGAAACAAAAAAGATAATCAGTGTTATTAAAAAACAAGGTTTAGCTTTGGAGTAAATTTCTGCTGAGACTGCAGTTAATCTTAGTCAAAATTGATATTATCAAACAAACTTAGCAAAGGTTAATCTAGTACGAGGCTCTACTGGAGTAATATTTACTGCTAGCAGGTGGTTTGGTTATTCTCTGTATAATATGAATTTGGACTAATACTAAAATCGCAATTTCTTATTAAAAGCACTGAATATGATTATCGTTTATATTAAAATACTATCAAAATGCCAACAGATCCTGAAACCATCTGAAAAAAAAGCTAAATACCAATACAACGGAATCAACAGTGGGAGACCAGCCACACCTCAAAGGTCACCACCCAAGAAAAAATAACTGACATTTGGGTTCCAGTGTGCTGCACAGTGAGAGGAATGCTACAAATAATTAATTATATCATGTATTATAATTATTATGTTTAGTGTAGTCATTGGACAAAGCCGAATAATATGTCGCATATTGTTAAATTTATTTATCAACTTGCTTGTGCCTTCTTATTTTTAATTTTAATTAATGTGAGTGATATTAATTTATGAATTTAGTTCTACAGAGATTTTGGGGATATTGATTGGATATGATGATGACATAATTCGGCAACGCCTCTGAGACTATTTGCTTTTTCGATCCCTGGTGTATTGCAACCCTAGTTATCGAATTATATTATACCCTGTTGTTTTATGTAATATAACATGTTAATGTTGTAGTAAAATTGTTTTGTTAACTTTAAAGAGTTTGAAGTGATGAGAATGGTCTTAAATATGCGGGCATTGGACACAAAGCGTCGTAACACATTCATAATTATGTTTAAGTTGTAGTGGATCGAAAGCACATTCGCTTTGTTTATTCTGTAACTAATGTGCCTATAAATGTAAAGTATGTATAGGTCTCGTATAAGTAACGTAAATTGGATTTTACTTTCGAAAAAATTCTAGTATTATCATATTGGTGAAAATATCAACAAAAAGTCACATTGTTGTTTATAAAACATAACATTTGTTTATATTACATATTTTAGTTTTGTTTTTTTTTTTTGTTGATGTAATAATCCTATTGTGGAACTGGCCTAAACCATGATATTAACCTTCTCTTGTCATAGCTACTAAGTGTTTCTATCTATTGACCCTTAAACTCACACTTGGTTATGTTTAGAGTGGTGTTTCACAGTAAAATTTATGTTTATTTGCACTCAGTATTATTGTTAAAGAGTAAGTAGATGTTTCAAAATTTCTTGGACATAGCATGATCTCCCCTTGAGACTTTCGCAGTTGGCAGTAACAAGTCTCGAAATGAATTCATAATTTAATTAATGGTGGTAGTAACAGTGTAGTCCTCGCAACAATAGTGCAATTTCTATATAATGGTTTATTAATTATAAAATTATATGCAGGTTTTGCATTGTACAATTTTATTTTTAGCTATGTTAACAATATCAAATGATTTTCATTCATTAATAAATATTACTATTTAAACTAAGAGGTTTATTTTTGTTTCATTTTGGTTTGCATTTACAAATAATAATTGTAATTTTTAATATTGTATAATTTATTGAGTGTACTTTGTTATTAGAACATCATTTTATTTATGAAGTCTTTTCATCTTATTAGCTTTATAAATTTGATTACTATTTAGGTATGTTGCTATCAGATTTAAATTATATGTTTGTTCTCAGTATTTAAAACTAAATTGTATAGAGCTAAATAGATAGCTGGTAAAAAAATGCAGACATTAGATTTTTATGTGATTCTTTCACTTACTTATTCTATTTTTATCTACACTAGTATTGATAACTTACATTACACAGAAAATTGATTTTTAAAATAATTATCATAGATTTTGTTGTACTTTTTCTCAGGTGTGTACAATTTTCTGAAATATAAATTTTATTCAATATTTCATGATGCATTTTTAGATTAATCTCTCATTAATCTTTTATGTTCAAATCTTTGTCTACCCAATTTATTTCATCTACTTCTTGTTTGATAGGCAATATGATTTTAGTCAAATTATGATGATTTTCTAATTTTTCATGAATTTTTGTAATAAGGTCTTCATTCTTTTTTTGATAATTCTGTATATCTAGTTGTAGTGCTCTTAGATAGCCCCTCTTAGCTGTGATTGTCTTTTTCAGTCTGTTGACTCTGCTATCATATTCTTTAGCCAATGATTCTAATAAAACTTTTTGCTTTTGTAGATTACTGATATCACTAGCTTTTAATTGTGCTTTGACATCACCAAGTTGTGGTCTCCTGCAATAAAATTATTTAAAAATGAATATAAAATCTGTTTTAAGCAAACAAATTTAGACTTCCGTGATCTAATTACAAACCACAAGACTTTTTCAGAATCAATTTCATTGAATTTTTCTTTTTGTTTTTCTAATGACTCAATCTTTTCATGCATGTTTTCATATTGCCACATTGCACTCAATTCTTGGACCATCTCATCCAAAATACCTTGTTTAAGGCAGTTGAACATTGGTACCCATTTCACTCTTCTCAACTTAGCTTTTGGCACAGTTTCAAGAAAATCTTCATTTCTGAGAACATAAAAAGAAAATCCTATTAATATTTCAGTACAGCCTTAGCATAACATAACATAACATGTGAATTACTGACCTTCTAGATCAGTATTTCACATGTTCTTGCAACCTAGGCTACACAGACAGGTGACTTTCAGTTATCTAGGATGCAACCTTCACCAACTTGGGACTGATAAGAGCTATAATAATTTGTACGGGTTCCAAAGTCTACATAGGACACATATTACACATACATAACAGGAAACCTATTACAGGGTATGCTAATGAGACTGAGATAGAACCACCGATTAAAAGTATGAAGCAAATTCAATGAGTCAAATCTTTAATACTTCCTAATATTATCAATATACAAACTAATATACAAAAGTAACTCTTGTCTATTCAATTTTCACATCTAAACCACTGAATCAATTTATGTAAACTAAGTACAAAAATAGTGTCAGAGTTGAAAATGTTAGCATCTGATATTAAGAGTAGTGCCCGATGAATTTAAATTATACAAGAGACCTCTGTATCTGTTGTGGTATTCGATTATAGGGTTACAAAGTATAACATTAATATATAACATTAAATCTAATCATATGAATTGAAAGGATTATTGTGGCAAAATACATACTATCTGTCACCAAAAAATTATTATCTCTAGCTACTCCATGCTTCGAAAGGCATATTAAGCCGTTGGTCCCGGCTGTATTCGCAGTCATTAATACCCTTCGTCCAGCATAGAGGATCATGCCCCACCTTCATAACCTAATGTATATTCCCTAAAATTTCATTATTCATTTAAAAGTTATTAAAATTACATGCGAATATTTATGATAGGATTAGTCAATACTAAGAACTACAACTTACTTAACCAAATTAGCAATATTGCTAAATTCTTTTAAAATTGTAAGATTATCGAAAGTCAGTTCAGAATTATCCATATCGACATCATTTAGTTGTTCCTCCACTTGTTCACCCATTTTATTGGTTGGTAAATAGAGCAGTCTTTAAAACAAAATAAACAGACGCTTTCGTTATAGAAAAGCAAAACGGAGGCAAAGAAAATCAAACGAGTAACAATACACAAAAGAACTAAATTTTGAAATCTCAACTGAAATCGTAACAATCAATTTTAACGTCAACGTCACTCTCACCATAGTGATGTGACTAGAGTCCGCGAGTCAATTCGGCGGCGCATCGATTCTTTAACTGCAAGGCATCACTTCGCTATGAGGAAGTATTTTAAGAAAAAAAGAAAGCACTAAAAACATATGGCGACTCTACCAAACGTTGATTTTTACAGGAAACGAATGGATCATAGATAGTAATTTCTGTTCCTTTTAACTATACTCTATTCATTATAGCATTAGACAGAAATTAAATAAGGTTCTTTTTATGGTATACTTTGTGACAAAATATCAGTAATCATGTTACTCTTAAGACTGATGGCTTATTTGGTACATATCCACTTAAATACCAGCTGCTATATTTAACTGTTGTCATTTAAGCTATCTATTAAACAAATTAATGAGTATTTGACTAACTCAAATAATTTAATAACTATTACAATAAAAACTGTTCATCTTAAAGAACCTAAGGAAGCAGGGTTGGATAGTTTCGGCAGTATTCTCTTGTTACTATAACTCTACCAAAGAACAATGGTCAAAATGGATTACGAAAAAAAAGTTCTTGTACCAAGATGGAACTATCACCAAAATGTAGTATAAGTTGAATGTAATTATTAAATACCAACAATTTATTTTTAAAAGCTGGGGAAAGAAAGATAATCTTCTCTAAAATATTTATTTATTTTTTAGAACGCAGTTTAAATTATGTTATTTTTGAACGCATCTTATTAAGTTATTAATAATGTCATTCCTAGAGAAGTCCCGCTCTTTTCAAAGAACAAGATCGATTCTATTTCTGACTAATCGAATTTGATACAAATCTTATATTATTTACTAACCATATAAATCCGTCAAAATTATAAAACTTAGATTAGATTACTAATATAATTAGATGTTACTTAGAGGAAAATAGTTTATTTATAATGAAATTAAAAACAAAAAAAATATTCATAAGAATCGATAATACAGTATTTAATCGATTGCGACCTCCCTGTTTTAGACAAGTATGTGTAGACGTGTTTCTACGCAGACCCTTTTTTAACTTTGGCGGTGAAAAAAAAACGCGGGAGACTTTAAACGAGGTGGACGAAATTTTTCTTGCATTATTTTAAAAAATTTGTTTTGTAAATTTAAACGAATCAGATAAGTTGTCTAGTGTTATATTTCTATAATAAGTGTATTGTAATTGTATTTTTGTATATTTATCCTGTATATTTTCGGTAAGTTTTTATAATATATATTGTATGGATACATTTTTATGAATAAACCACCGGATCTAACCGCGGGGGACTTAGGTCCTGACCTGGGTCCCCCTGTTGGATATAATGTAACTGTAAATAATAATTCTAATAACGAAATGGACACTGACGCCTCTATAAGCAGTGCGGATGGTTGGACGCGTAAAAGGTCCAGATACCATAAGCGTTGTAAAAATTGTAATAAAAAGAGAAAGAGAAGCTCACATATAGGTACAGGTACTTCTAGCGAAATAGATTGTCAATGTACTTTATTAGATAAAAATGTAGAATTTAAAGAACCAATAACTCCCATAATTAGCAATAACAAACAGAGAGATGACTCAAAAGCTGATTCTACTTTATTCCCACGTACAGAGGTAGGTCGTAAACATTATATTTCTACAGATTTATCCCCGTATATTGTTCATGTACAAAGAATTCAAGACTCTCCGGGTGATGGCTCCACACTTCATCCTATTACTTTTGGCAACTTTTTAAAGAAAAATAATTTTCAAAATATTGTGACAGGAAGTGTTAAAAGGATAGGTCGTAATAGATGTACTGTATCGTTTTCCACAATTAAAGATGCCAATGACTTTTTAAATAATAAAAATTTGATCGATTTTAAACTTCGTGCATTTATTCCCATATTTAATGTTACTAAACTTGGTATTGTACGTGGTGTACCAGCCGACTGGACACCAGAAGAAATTAAAAGCAATGTCTCTATTCCAATGGGTTGTGGAGAAATTATAAAATTACGGAGAATTAATTATAAAGTTCACGTTGATGGGTCAGTAATTTGGAAACCAACTCAGTCTGTCGTATTTACCTTCGATGGACAAGTTCTTCCTAAAAGAGTATACATTTGTTACAATGCACTACCAGTTGAACTCTATACCTACCCAACAATCCAATGCTTTAATTGTTGTCGATATGGACACACAAAACTTGTTTGTCGGTCACCTCCGAGATGTTTCAAATGTGCTCAGGATCATAGAAGTGAAAACTGTTCAGTAGAGGAAAGTTGTGCACTGTGTATAATGTGTTCAGGGTTTCATTACGCTACGAATAAAATTTGTCCGGAATTCCAACGTCAAAAAGACATTAAATTGACTATGTCCCAAAGCAGTATCTCTTACATGGAAGCTAGCAAACTCCACCCACCAATATCAAAACCATATGCTGATGTTGTAGCAACTAATCAAACATCTGACATAAATAATTATAAGAGACAGGATCAAAAATCACATAATACCTCATATAAAAAGACCGTTTACTTAAAACCACGTTCACCGATAATTTTATCGAAAGGATATGACCAGCTAACACATAATAAGATTATAAGTGATTATGATATGCCTTGTACCTCACCAAATGGTTCTGCATTTAAACCAAGTGCCAATGAAGAATTTGAAAATAAAAATGTAATTGAAACAGTTATTTCATTACTTAATACTTTGTTAACAAAACATACATTAAAACCGTCCAACGTTGCCATTATAGTTGAAATAATATCTAACCTAATCGCCAATAATGGATCTAAAAATCCTACAGTGGAATTGTAGAAGTGCAACGTCAAAAAAAAGTGACTTAATTCATTTAATTAACAAATACAATTGCTCGGTGGTAGTATTATCTGAGACGTGGTTAAAGCCAGGCATTCTATTTGGAATCCCTGGTTTTACCTGCCTCAGAGAAGATAGACCAGATGGTTATGCAGGAGTAGCCATACTTGTTAAGAATACAATTTCCTTCGTGCGGCTGACCTTGCCAACGCATAATATAAATAACTTCAATGTTATAGGGATTACATTACAAAATAGAACTTCTATTGTATCAATATATATACCAGATGCAACATCTAACATTCTGAATAATGATATCGACCAATTAATAACATCTCTGACTAATCCTTTTCTCTTATTAGGCGATTTTAATTCACATCACCGCAGTTGGGGTAGTGGAATAACTGACACTGCTGGACAACAATTATTAGAAATCATAGACTCACATAATTTATGTTTATTAAATACAGGAGTTCCGACTCGTCGTACAAAACCTAATGAAAATGTCAGTGCTGTTGACCTATCTATTTGCACTCCTGGATTAACTTCAAAAATGAATTGGAATTCCCTTGATTCAACATGTGGCAGTGACCATTTCCCTTTAGTAATAAGTTCGACAGATAAGGTAACTACATTCAATTTTAGACGTAAAGCGCGCCTTAAATACAGATTATGCAACGCTGATTGGCAGAAATTCAGAACAACGGTTGATACAAAAATTTCAAAACTACCTAATATAGTTCAGTCTGAAATTTCAGATTGTTCTGAAGCATTAGCTAAATGTCTCAAAGAAGCTGCTGATGTAACTTTTCCAATAAAAAGTACAGTATCTGACAAAATCCCATGTCCTCCGTGGTGGGATCATGAATGCACTAACGCTATTAAGCAACGTAAAGAAGCTGAAAAAAAGTATAAGCTTTGCATGTCACCTGACAACTACGAACAACTTTGTAGCATAATTAAAATTACAAGAAAGTTATTAAAGCAGAAGAAAAGAAACGGTTGGATCTCTTTTTGTGCCTCTCTCTCTCCCAGCTCATGTCCATCCGACGTGTGGCGTAATATCAAACGTTTTAGATCAGCGTTTAACTCTCATTCTCATAATATTATCGATTCTTCTTTAGCCGACTCTTATATGGATCATTTAGCGCCTCCGACAGTTTTAGAATCAGAGTCCATGAACATCAATAATTTTATTCCACTTTCAATAAATCAAACTCTTAATAATCCAATTTCTCTCGCTGAACTTAAGGGTGTCTTAAGTAATGTAAAGGATAGTTCGCCTGGTGAAGATGGGATACCATACTCATTTTTTGTAAATTTAAGTGATACAGCTCTTTCTTACTATTTAGACTTAGTTAATAAAATTCTAGTCGCTGGTGAGGTCCCACTTTCATGGAGATCACAGATTATAGTTCCTATTTTAAAACCGGACAAACCTTCTTCAAACCCTTTATCATATCGGCCAATAGCTCTGAGTTGTACTCTTACTAAATTAACTGAACATTTGGTGAAAAACCGTTTAGAATGGTATATTGAAAATAATAACATATTATCAAAGAGTCAGTTTGGATTTAGGAAAGGCAGAAGCACTATTGACAGTATTGGCATTTTAGTTTCCGATATTCATTTAGCTTTTTCTAGCAATGATTATGTATTGGCAGCATTTTTAGATATTCATGCCGCATATGATAATGTTATTATAACTAAACTCATACAAAAATTAATAGATATGAATGTTCCGGTAATGCTAATCAAATTTATCTCTTGTATGCTCTCAGAAAGGTACATTCACTTAGACCTCCTGAATGGTACAAGACTAACTAGGTTAGTAAGGAAAGGACTCCCGCAGGGATCTGTATTAAGTCCATTATTATACAACATTTATGTTTACGATCTAGAAAATTGTTTAGATAATATTCAGATTCTTCAATATGCCGATGATTTACTTTTATACTCCATTAATAACTCTGTTGAGATCGCCAATAATAATTTAAATTCTGCCTTGAAACAACTTAAAAGATGGCTTGAGAATAACGGTCTAGAATTATCAGTCGAGAAAAGTACAATAGTATTGTTCACTAGAAAACGTAATTCACCAGATGTAAATGTTGTGTATGATGAAATTCCAATTCAAAATAATCCCTTTACTAAATTTCTCGGAGTTGTATTAGATTCAAAACTCTCGGGTAATCAGCATTGTGATTATGTGGTAACTAAATGTGAAAAAGTTCTTAATATGATGAGATGTTTATCTGGAGTTTGGTGGGGTGCACACCCGTCTGCACTGAGACTTATATATAACGCTCTAGTAAGAAGTTTGCTTGATTATGGTACATTTTTACTTCAAGGAGGTAATGTTACTGCCTTTAAGAAATTAGATCTGATACAATATAAAGCATTGAGATTAATTATAGGTGCTATGAAATCATCGCCTACAAATGCAATGCAAGTTGAATGTGCGGAACCACCTCTATATCTAAGAAGACAATTCCTTAGTGATAAATTCCTATTCAAAGCTTACCAGTTTTCTCTCCACCCTATCTTTAAGAAACTAGAAACCCTTGAAAAATATGCTCGCTCTCTTAAGTATTGGAAACATAAACCTACTACTTGTCTCATCACTAGTTACAGAAAACTTTTAGCTATTCAAGCTCCTATTTATCGTTCTCCTATTTTGCCGATATTTAACAATACCTTTGAATCTTTGTGTTATACTCCTGATATTTGTTTAAATATAGGTATTGATAAAAATGATACAGAAACTAATATTTTATTTAATTTTAATGTAGATAAAAACTGGAAAAATCATAATTTTATTTTTACAGATGCTTCTAAATCATCTGACTCTGAAAATGTAGGTGTAGGTGTTGTTCATATACAGTATAATATAGTTCAAAAAATTAAATTACCCCCTGAAACATCAGTATTCACAGGTGAATGCTTTGGTATCTATAAAGCCATAGAATATATCATTTTAATGAAACTAAAGAAAACAGTGATTTTTACAGACTCTAAAAGTTCATTACAAGCTATTCAAAAATTTCCTTTTACAATGAAACCTTGTCATTCTATAATTTGTGGCATTAGAGATAAACTAACGCTATGTAAAGATTTACAATACTCAGTTTCCTTAGCATGGATCCCTAGCCATCAAGGGATAAAGGGAAATAATAGAGCCGACCAACTAGCTAAAGAAGCGATGAAGTGTGGAGACGTATACCCCTATCTTAATTATGTTAATGACATAATTTCCTTACCTAAACAGTATTTATTAGATACTTGGAAAGAGTTATTACCTAAGAGTTTTCAAATTAAAGGACAACATTATTTCAAATTGCAGCCCAATATTCGTATTAAACCATGGTTTACCAAAAAATACGATAAAAAATCCGTTACTATTATTATGCGAATGCGTCTTGGGCATGTGTGTACTCCTGCACATCTGGCCAAGTTACATATTGTAAGCAGTGACCTTTGTGCGTGTGGAAAAGATGTAGGAGATCTTGACCATATTTTCTTTTCTTGTCCCTTAAATGACTGTTCCTCTTTCATCGATGCCTTAATAGAACAAAAGGTTCCATTACCCACTCGAATATCATGTTTACTACAATATCCATGTGTATATTATAGTATCTTATCTTCTTTTATTCATTTAAATAATATCAAAATATAACAATGACTATATATTTTAATTAACCAATTATCTATTTACAATTACTCTTAAACTAGCAACTTATTTGATCCAGTATTTGTATTCGCGTAAATATGTTTTCTATTTTATGAGATTGTTTCCCTACTTTTTACTTTAAACCCTAGAAACAACTCGACACTGGCAAATTGTTCACACATTATTGCCATACAGCAAAAAAAAAAAAACTTTGGCGGTGATTTTGTATTATCTTCTGTATTATAGGGAGCATACTAGGGTCCATGGGCAGTATAGAATTGAGGTCTGGAGAGAAATACCGGATTTTCTGGATTTATTAGAGTTAAACTTAAATATAAATAAAGTGCTAATTATAAGGGGTAGAATTAAGTCGAGACATTGGGAGGAAACAATATTGTGTGTACATTTTAAAGAATAATGACACATCCGGGTTAGATGGCATAAGAGAACACTGCTGTAATTGTCTTATTGGTCGATGTACACTGGGATGTTGTGCTCATATGATGACCATAGTTTGGTGTCTTGGATGGGCCAGACACGAACAGAATGTAGCTGCTCCTGCAGCATTCCGTGATGAGCTATTCATTAGAGTTGTAATAAAGAATGAAATTAGTATTTTCACTACTACTTTATATAAGTTTTAGTGTAAGATAGAAAAGTAGAGTTATTGAGAGCAATCTTAAAAATTCTATTATTTTTTTTGATGTTCATTGATTCAATAAAAATAATTTATCAGAGATGGAGCAAGTTTGAAGTATTATGTGAAAGTATGCACTTCTAGGACTACGATTAGGCATTATCTGATGTGTGCTTTACATATTTCTCGATACTCCCAGCTTTTAAAAATATATTTAATGTCTTTCTTTGTTCTAGTTGCATAGGCAAACAAAATAACATATGTTTCATCAAGTTACGTTTTATTCGATTTTATTTGTCCAAGCATGTTAGGCAGATGGCCATTGTTCTTTATAGTATAAAGGTATTTGTCTAAAATTACTAAAAGAAATCTTAGTCGAGTAGTACAATTGCATTTTTTTTACTCGACAGCAGTAGCTACAACAGGTACTCATGATAAGTTCCACGAGCGACGCCTGATCAAGAGATCTGACCTATTTACAACAACGCGCCCCTTCCCGTACGTGTGTTTTACGTTGTTCACATCCCATATCTAAAGAAAAATATTCAAATAACTGAAATGAAACTCGAACTACTTTTCGCAAATGCTACATTTATTTAATTAATGAATTTTCTATTATTCTGTGATTCCGAAGGTACTTTAATCCACTGGTGCCTTTTCCAGAGTAGAGGGCTATCCTCCTTAACCATCCATAAAGAAGGCCTCATTCCCTGCAATGGTGAAGTAAAAAATAGGGTTGATGATGATAATGATCCGAAACAACAAAGTTACTTCAACATTCAAATGTAAATTTCATTTTCACATTGACTGGAAATCAAACTCGGTACTAGCTATTTTCTGCGAATTGTATGCCAATTCTGCGAATTTTTAATTTATATCGCATCTCAATAGAATCTCAACTACTTGCAAATTGCCATTGCCCGCGATCGTAGTCATTAAGCAACTTTCGCAAGGGTCGGTCACGGGATGGGTGACCAAAAAATTATTATCTCGAACTACTCCGTGCTAACGTTGCAAATAAAACAGAAAAGTGGTACTTTACTTTCCGAATTACACAACACAATCTTTGAATTCAGTTTTGTAAGTATTTTTATATTTAAAAATGTCAGTTTATGCAGGAACGTGGCTTATTTTGATTCTTGTATTTTTTAACACTGAATTAATATATTGGTCAGACAATAGTGAGGCCCCCAAACGCGCGAGGCCCGTAATATTTGCTATTTTTTCTACGTGTTTAATTCGGCCCTAAGCACTTCTATTAAAAACTGTCGTTTGTTCGGGAAGAGTAAAGTGAAGTAAGCTACATGCTCATTGGCGACTTTTTGTCTCCTGTCATCGTGCTTTAGAATACTGGTGGCATGACAAATAGAAGGCTTCCATAGAAATTATAAAAGCATGGTAATAGAAATCATAAGTCATGATTACAGAAAATTACTAGTGCACGTTTGGTACGAGTATTGCTACTACCTGCTATGAGTTTCTTGTTTGGTAGCATAATGTTGTTATAACATCTTTATTGTTTCATTATTGATATTTCGTAATGTATAATTAGTGAATTAAATAAAAAAGATGCAGTCAACTGCACGTCAGCCTATACAATCCTGTGAATTTAAATACATGATTTTAAATCTTAATTTACTATTGTTAGAATTTAAAAAGCATTGTGCTAATTTAACATATAGCCGTGTGTACCTTACGGCGTCAGTTTAATAATACTATCAACAGAAACGTGAGTACATACCTAGGGTATGAGGACTAATAGAAATAAAACTTTTATTTCGTTTTTTAGATTTTATTGATTTTTTTCATTTTTGGAATACATAAAAATAGTTTTAATATAAACAAAATGTAACAATTATTAATTTCCGTGGCAGTGACTATGTTATAGCAGTCTTTGAGATCTTCCTGGAAAAAACTTTAACTAAAATCGATTCCCGTGGCAATTAACTCAGCTCACTGATTTCGTCATCTTTGATACCAACATAGTCAATGTTAACAGACGATGTGTGTAAAATAATAAATTAAGTATAGCGATGTAAAATAACTTAGAATAGGTTTGGTGCGATGACCGGCTCTTTAAAAAGCAGCAGCTGAAACAGAAAAGGAACACTTTTATAATATTTTTTTAATAGTTTTTTTTTATATATTTTGTAATAATTTTCCATTTATATACAGTATGTTACATATTTTTTCAAACATGCTATTTTGATTTTTTGTTATTTTGGAAAATTTTACAATTACAAAAGCAACGTAGCACTCTGTTGATTACAAGGTTTATTTCCTTATTTAATATTGGTCCTCTCTTTCTCTCTATCTAACGGTATAAGTTAATGGAAAAAAAGGTTTTCAATGTCACTCTGTCAAAACACCTAAATTATAAAAAATACATAATCTATGGCACATGGTTAACAGAACTTTTAGTTTTATTTTTACTATCTGACATAAAAAAAAAATATCTATCTTACATACTCCATTAACTAATAAGGAAAAAGATTTAAGAATCCATAGAATTCAAACTGTGAAGAAGTGAAATGAGATACTCGTGCTAAGTAGAATGAATAATCTGTAAAAATAAGGACCACTTCATAACTTAAAACTCGACTATCTCTATGGTACAGTGGTTAGATGGAATCTATTTGTGATACGGAGAGCAAGCAACTTTCGTAAGGATCGTTTATACGATGGGGACAAAAACTTCATTATCTTGAGTTCCTCAAAGCTTTAACTGTATCTGCAGCCGTTAATACCTACCAATCCGCACTACAATCGTAGGTCAGTGCCCCAGTAGGTGGGGACATTAAAAAACTGTTTATAATACTTAAAAAGTAACTTTAAACTATAGAAAAACAGTAACAGCACGGTCGCTGGCAGAAAGAATTTCGTACAATGATATCGTATTAAATCCTACCTCTTTCCAGTGGCGTAACTATACTGTTTGACGCCCGTGACAATTTCATCGGATATTCAATATTTTTTTTACTAATTGCGTAATAATAAATGTCAAGAGTAAGAGTCTTCCCTGATCGGGGGCCCCTTCCAACTGGGGGCCCTTGGCAGTTTGCCGACTTGTCACCCTGTAGTTACGCCACTGCCTCTTTCACTCGTGCGCACACATATTGTTATTGCGCTCTCAAAGATGCATTTTGTCATAATAAAGGCTGTTACCGTGCTTCTTCATTGTGTGAAAGTCACCTAATAGGGAAGATAACTAAATTTTGTTTGTCTATACGTCGGTTAGATTATTAAAGAAACACGTATTTTTTATTTTTTTGCGTAATCAACAAATTACTGCGATAAATTGAGTTGTATTGTCGCACCTTTGTATATTTTCTACATACTAGCGAGCCCCCATCCGTCAACTTTCATGTCTGTTATCTAAACTATTTCTTATTAAATTCAAGCAAAAAAAACACGTATCTAATATTTTCCTATTATCTGATTGACGGACTAAATGGAATTTCAAAAAAATCGCGGTGAAAAAAAATATCTAGTACGCGCTTTAAATTGAAATTACAATACAATTCCAATTATTGTTTATGTTTTACACAAATATTAGCAAACAGGATGTAATTTTAATATTTCTTTCATTACACACAGTTTCGATATTAAACAGTTACTGTTTCATTTAGAGGTCTTCATTTTTACTGATTTTTAGTGTACCTACGTATTTTTCATCATGTAATCTTAAATATGATATAGGTAGATAAAAATCTTTGTCAAAGCAAGATACGGCTGATATAAAGCACCATCTTACTACTCTGTAAAATGTAATTAGATGTCTTATACAGTACATACTATATGGTCTTACAATGGATTTTTATAATGAAGCTATGGAAAGGTTTTACAAAATATCGTGAAGATAACATATTCCATAAACTACCCAATAAACATTATCTGTAAAACCTGAGATGAATTTGTCGACTCCGACATCTACGGGCGGCAGTTTAGGAAGCGTCAAAATAATAATTTAAAGTGGTCGGGAAAAGAAAAATATAAAAACATTTTAATTATTGTGACTGGGAAAATTAATTAACCTTAGACCCAGTTTACATAAGGATATTAACACTTTACTACTTATAATGTAACATTGAGGGCAAGATATTAGATACATGTACAACGTAGACAAGAACAAAACAAAAGCTGCAAATTGTCATGAAATTATTCAAGTAAAACATTTATATTTTTTAAAATATATAATACAAGCGTAAAGGTACTCAATTATAAAACGTGCTCGCTCACCATATTTGTTATAAAATATCGTAGGTGAAAATGACATTAAAAATTATATTTTGCTCATTGCACCAAAGTTGCACTCTATCAAGTTTTAATAGAGCGCAAGTGCGTTAGCCTTGACTTTGGTGCAATAAAATCATATTAGGTATACATGCCGGTATGTTCATGAAAATTATTATTTTTTGAATGGTTTATTTAATGGATTTGTTAAAATCAACGTTGTGGTGATGCAATATATTGGAGTGGCAGCATTCCTCAGACATTCTTTGGTTACCTTTGAATATTTAAATTATTTATCATAGTAAAACGATCCTATTCTGAAATTAACCACTAAAATTGAATGTAAAATTTGTCTATGGGTACAGTGCTTATAAACGGATAAAAATCTACACTAATACCAGGTCCACAAACTCAGGAAGCCGGCACACAAACTGACTTCACAAATTCATTTATAAAATGAACTGTGTGTTTTTTTAATTTAACGTATGTCAGATTTCAAGTGTGACGGCAACCTTATTAAAGTATTCTACAGGATGCGACGTAATCAGGTGCCAAACCCAGAATCTATCTACAAAACGCAGAATTGATACCTGGAGTGTCGGATTATAGACTACGCATAAACGGTAAAGTCTTGCTTAGGTCATCCACTGTGAAGGAGTCTGCCATCATTAAATCTGTCGTAATTAAACATAATTAACATCACAAAGGTTAATTCTTATGTTAACTCAAAAGTGATATTGCAGGCTTTTGTACAGCTTGTGAGTGAAGCTGTGGCTTATATACAGCATCCGACTAACCTAAGGGCCTGATCGGGTGTTTGTCCCATAAGTAGGTGCGTTTAACCGGCGACAGGTACGAGTCCCTGATGTAAGAAGGGCTGCGGTCCCATCTGGCTAGGGGCTTCAGCTCGGGCCAGTCGTACCAGAAGGGGTCCCGAATGATGGCCGAGATCGGCAGTGAGGAGCTCGGGTTGAATATGTCAGCCCACGGCCGACGCCTGAGCCCTCCGGCGGTGTACAACGGCGCACCTGAACAACTGCCGGGTTAGAGCCGAACGAACTTGCCTCTGGTCTTCGTCACCGAACCGTAAATGATACAGCAACAAAAGCCTTGCGTGTATGATACCGATAATCATGGAAGCTGTAAGCTATGTGAAATGTTACTAAGCCCATTTTGTACATTCCACTTTATTTTATTCAGCTTTTGTTTCCAGTAAATTAGATTTTAGCTTGATAAAGATGTCTAGTCTGAATAAAATGAAGTTAATTTAAGTGAAAGAAAACGAAATACAAATCGAATGGAAAATATGAATGTAACAGCAGTTATAATGTTTATTGTGAATAAATGCAGAATTTTACATTTTTTTTAATGTAGACTTGATAGCATCAATTATATGAAGTGATTAATAATAGTATGTAATAGTACATAGTCAATCATGCAGTGAAATTTAATCAATCACGTGTTGAAGAACACGTACACTCATTGGGTATAGTTTATCAGTAGGATACAAGGTACTATACTAAAGGAAGAGGTTTTTCTACAAAAAGAGTTCACGTCTTTTTTATTCGAAGCTATTTCATATAGGCTTAATTACGTCTAATTACTGAATGTAAAGAAAACACACATCATTTACTAATACAATTTTTCAAATAAACTTCAGCGTACGTTTAGCACCTATCCGATAGGATCTATAGAGAAGGTTTCATGGATCGTGACGAAGATAAGAGGGTTCGTCAGGGTCTTGGCCCTTACCGTCGGCATCAAAAGCGACCTCGCTCTCGCGAGGTGGACTTATTCTCGGCTTCACTGGAGTCGGTGACTTCCCTCGGAGCGAGCGGTCAAAATCCGTCCATTTTTCGGCATCCGCGAAAAAAGGGTCGTTTTTGAACGGGTCCGATATCTTCTCCGGCCACGCTCCTTCGTTATAAGTCTCATTATGAATACCATAATTAATAAAACATTCAGGGACTTTTTTTCGGACCATATAATCGGTAGTTACAGATTAATTCGTAAGTTTACTTACGACTAAGAGTTTGGTTGAGAGTGTAGTGTTCTTTTTTTAAACGAGCGTGATACGTCGATTGATGCGCGTATATAATATGAATGGCATTTATATACAACGCAGACCATGCATACACCTTTTACCAACGTGATTATCGAGATGTAAATCCCATCATAGTTATTGTAGCCGAAATACGATAAAAAATATAAACATAATATTTAACAGAGAGGTTCTATACTACTAAATCAAAACACCGATTGGTCTTTTAATTTTTAATAGAAAAAATACGAGTTTAATGTTAGTAATATGTAATAATCGTTTGTACTATTCATAAGTTATGGAGTATGTAATCGTGTATAAAAATTCAACAATAAACAAAGATACAACATTATTTTATTATCTTATAATAAAAGCTCTACACTATTACGAGATATGTCATCATGGGTTGTTTACAGTGATTTTAGATACAATAATAATGTTTTAAATATGCCAAACCAATGATGATATTTGTACATTATGTACACAAAAATTTTGATTATAAACATTAATATTTTTTTAATAAATAACATTATAAACAAATCTATTAAAATAACAAAGTGATTCTCAAAAAGTAACAATATGTAAGAATGTAATTCAATTTAAACTTAGTTAATGTGTTTTTAAAAAATAGCATGTTGGTAAAAGTATAAAAATAGGATACATCGCTCACTCAAATTAGATTCATTTTGGATATGAATCTAAAAAGAGGTCGTAATCCCTTGAAAGTATTCTTATAACAACATTTCGAAATCCTTGTCATCTGCGACAACTTTGGAATTGTCTTAAAATGGAAACCCTAATTGAGGGTATATGCCTAGAAAATTCCTCAATTATCAGGTGACATGGATCGAATCAAAGTGCGGAGACGCATCAGTTCACGGCTTACAAAACAATCAGTCTATCTCAGACACCGAAGAAGACCTTTCGATGTGTCGGGTAATGCACGAACGGATGAATCTCAGCAGAAGTATGCCATCTGTTACAAAAACAGCCTCGTGTTCGATGTCGACGCTGCACTGTCATAACTCAAAAGTTCAATCAAATAAAACCTACTTCGAAACTCAATAAAGATGTGTTAATTATCAAGCACGATGCTGTTTTTTTAACAGAACAACACATCAGATCTTATCTATCTATCTTATTCTAATCGTGCATAGAGTTTAGTATTTACCTGTTCCCCAGTGCGGCTTAGAGTCGGGCTCGTATTCGATGCCCTTAAGGCTCTTGGGCGCGTAAGGGCTGGTGATGGGAGCGCTCAGGTCGGTGATGGGGTAAGCCCGGTCCTTAAGGTAGAGACCGTAACGAGAGGGGTACAGACGGTCGATGGCTGCGAGCCTGTCGAGATGGTCCTGCCACGCCTTGTGAGCGTCGAAGGGATCAACGCCTCGTCGGTAACGTCTCGGCACGTGGTATACTGTCAGAACAATTTAAAAATGTATAATCAGCGCCATCTATATCTTAGAGGATGTAAACCGGCACCGCGATTAAAAAAACATTTCAGGTTTCCTCTCGCCTCGTTACAGAAAGGGAGACTCGTTCTAAAATACTTTAAATTATTTCAACTATGCATCTCCTAACTTACTTACTTCTGAAATAATCTAAGGATCCGTCTATTGAATCTTTACGAGAAGAAGAAGGATATCGAATAGAGCCTTTACATAGGAATATTTTTAATGAATGCAATAAATTATTCAGATATTTCAAAATAAGTTCTTCCACAACTTTTTAAATAAGTAAGTAGGTTGAATTAGATGTAAATAAGTAAAATATAACTGTTACATGTTAGTAAAGGATTGATTAGCAGAGCATAAGCATTTTAATGAAACTGAATACAGGGTTTTTTAAATTTTAATCATAGAACTCACCTTTTAATATCCTGGGGATGCGTGGTGGAATGAACTCGGTATTAATATCGTATCAAGGCAAAATATTTAGGGACATATAAATAATAAGAACGTGTCACCTGACAGATGCTAGAAGACCACAAACAATGGCATCGATGTAACATCCATGGATTTTACAAGTGTAATGTGAGGTTTGTATAAAAGGTGACTTCATATGACTCATGCGATTATTAGCGATGGTTAAATGTGATGTAGAACTAGCACAAGCAACAACATTAACAACTAAAATAATACTAAAATCTAGCTAAAAGCGTATGAGGCTGACCTATAAGAACGTTTATCTGTTTTTTGAGGTAACCTATAATTCCAAATCTACCTATAATGTTAAAAATATAATGTAATTGTGTGTATTACATCTTTTAGAGCCATAGCATTAGTTTATATATTATAGATATGCAAAAGTATTTGTTATTGTTCATATTTACGATGAAAGAGAAACGGCACATACAAAATTTACTGAAGTTGTGTAATTTATTTTGTGAAAATAATCTATTTCGTCCTAAAATTTGTCCATAGCATTTGTTTATATATTATAGACATGTAAAAATATTGTTATTGTTCAATGAAAGAGAAACGGCGCATATAAAATATACTAAAAATTGTGAAATTTATTTAATAAAAATTATGTATTTTGGACTAAAATTTGTCCAGCGATAACGGTAAAGAAAAATAAATTGTGTGTGTGAATGTCATTTCCATGTAATGTTATATCGAGAAAACTTAAATCTCCGAGCTTTTGACAGGATCCACAATATCCATTATATTCGGTTATCTATAATTTTTATTTATATTAAATTTATTATAAAACTTTAGTACAAAGTAATATTGACATTATATAAGTCTGATGTTAGTTATAAAATGAATAATTTCAAAACATTACACATGAATATTGTTTGACATATCGTTTTATGGTAATGATAAAATGCAGAAGCTTTTAGATTATATTTTTTCATTGATATACTGTAAGATTGCTATCTAAATATTTATTTTCCGCCAGATGATTTTTCTGCTGAAACAATAGGACATATAATACTAAAAGTCGATTCAAAACAATGAAAATAAGCAATAAGTTCTAAAACGAAAATGGTAACAATGTGAATAGCTTACTCATCTAAGTGTTAAAAAATGTATAGGTATATACAGATAATGACATAAGTTGAACGGTGAATATCTACAATATGTATACATACTAATAATATATTCATCTATTATAAGCATGAAATCCATTAATCGATAGATACAAGAATAGTTAAGCAATGGCAATTTGACATTGATGCGGAAGCATTCTTGTCAATCAATAACAGAGCAGCACATCATTCAACAGAGCATCGTCCATTTTTAGATTTGTTTGGACCGTTCACTGTATCCGTTATTTGAAAAATGTTTATCAGCTGTCCATTTATTTTTACCGGTCTGCAGATCTAAAGATATCTAAAGCGTTCAAAGGCTATAATCAATACAGAAAATCTACTCTGTTATATAAGATCGACAGTAGCCTGTTAGTATTGCTTGCATTTGTGTCTACACACCTGGCCTGTACCGATCGAGGGAACGGGCGTAATTGTGGGCGTAGATAGGCCTGGGGGAATAACCGTAGACTTCGCGGTGGACGGGCAAGTAGCGGTATCCGGGGACTGTGATCCTCTCGGCGGCTGCGATGGGGTCGTCAAAGATCGACTTAGTGTAAGGGTAGGAAGTCGATAGTAGTTCGGGGAACACGCTGCGGCGTGTTGGCCTGTACCTCTCCTCGGCTCTGATGTCTTCCGATCCTACGGTATTTCAATATAAAATTTGTTGAAATCTTAACTGTTTTGAGGTTTAAAATTGGTACTATCATTTGTAATAATAAATTGCGTGCTGGTGTTGGATCACAGATCTAGAAAATTTGAAAGTGCTCATTTTCAAATAAAAGTTGTAAGTTATTTTTTATCACATACGTAAGATACGTATGATATATGATATGATATGCTCACCTTTTAGAGATCGCACGAAAGATTGCCAGAATCTGGCTTTCTTTGACGGCGTCTCGTTTCTGCCAATCATTTCTAAATGACTTTTAAACATTTTGGCGGATTATGTCGTGCTCGTGTTCTGGAACAAACGATTATCTTTATACATTTATTCAATATAAAACTTATGCAGGTATGTATTTGAAGGCTATACCCGTGTATCGAACTGAGCGTACGTTAACCTTGAATTACATTTTGTGTAAAAAGTGTTTCCAGGTGACATAATTGAGTACAATAGCGTGCTGCTTGCTCGTAAATAGAGCAATGACGTACGCAGAGTTAGCAGCAGGGCCACAAATAGTCGCCGTGGCTGGCTGTCGTGTCGAATGGCCTGTGCTCTTGGAACTGCGCCAACAGAGCCGGTAGCGCTAGGAAACTTGAAAATCTCCGTTTATACGAATGTCTGCCCATCGCTCGGCTATTTTCAAGTTTCTGGCGACCTTGTTGCGTTTCACTGTGGATAAGTCAGCGGCCTGCCGCAATTTCTAATTACGTAAGGTCTGAAGCATGAGAAGACGAAGTAATGAGTTTTTACGAGGCGGCCTCGCTTTATTTCAGGAGTTACGACTCTACATCATTGAAGTTCTTTTTATTTGTTTTTATAATTTTATAGGCCTTTGGATTAGAAGTTTTTATAGAACTTTCAATATCATCTAAACTATACGCCTTTTTATGAATTTCTAACATAATCTTACACTTGTCATGTTTGGTCAATATTGCATTCACTATTTTCTTGAAGATAATCTAACACTCTAAATTTTTTATGTTTCAAGGTAATAAAGTCGAAATCAAAAGCGATTCTATTAATTTAAATGTTGCACTCTTGAAACTGTTTTTAGTTACTTTAACTATTCTATCTTGTAAGTTGATTTAGTTGATCATCTAATATTATTATACTTTATGTGAAAAAGCTGTTAATTTTCCAAGACGATTTGTGCTTCAGACTCGCTTTAAATTTATTGCGCAGGAGTTCGATTCATCAGTCGTAGTTAAATTGAAGTATTGCCGTTATGCAGCTTTTATGCTAATCTAATACATGCACTTGAACGTTGGAATGTGAACAAGTGCGTTTGAGAAGCTTAACTAATAACGGAGAACACTTTAAACATATCAATTTTTTTACATTTTTTAACTAAATCACCTGGACTCAAATATATAATTGTAATTATTAAAATATACTTAAAACATAAAGTAGGTAATGTTATTTTATTTGCTCTTTTAAATTGATAGTTCTACCGTATCTAGAAATAAGTAACTTCTCCTTGACTTATTTTTCTAATTTTGAATCAAAATTTATAGTTTATTTCTTTCAGAGTTGTAATAAATTTCACCAGTTGATTGATTAATTGCCAAAACAAAATAATTAATGATTCACCTAAACAATTTTAATTCAGGTCAAGAGCGAAGGCCAATGTCAAATATGTTTTGCCTTGCATGTTTACGCTTAACTTAACATGATCTAATATGTAATAATAGGTAAAGTACAGAATAAAAAAAATGTAGGTGAAATTGTGAAACTGTTACGAAAATATACGTAGGCGCGTCGAATTGGCGGGATCGCAAATTTGGCCCGACATGAGTGCAGACGAAAATAACCCGCGGACGGATCGGATTCACGGCATTCCCGGATCCGATGGATTACACGCCGTATGTGCCGCACCCGGGTGACGTGGAAACGCGATCACACCTTCTTTTGGCGAATGACGTGTGACACGTTTGCATTGATCGTAACTTTGATACTTTAAAATACTGATAAATTTTACAAGAATTTATACGAAAAAAAAATGCGAACGAGTTTTAGATACTGTTTACATTTACACTATTGAAATATATTCTGGATATTGTATGTAATAAAAAATTTTAATCACTATCACTAAAATTTAATGATTATTAACTTTCCATATAATTGCATGGTGATAATCAAAACGATTCATAAGCGAACAGTATAGAACTTTCAACACTTCTCATATAGGTACCTATAAAAAAATTATGACGTCACCCGCTGCACACACAATATCTTCATGAGCACAATGACATACAACTTACGTGCTGTAGCAACTTTACACCACCTTATCTCCGCTAAACACCCGCGAAAATGCGTACGATACCGACTGAAGTTTCGAAAACGAGACGGGTATATAATTGCGCAACCGTAGAAGTAGCGCGATATCGTAACGCCCTTCGATACACTTGGCACAGCCCTTTAAACTTGCTCTTACCGATTGTAATATGGTCGTATGTATATATATATATAGTGTGTTGTTTCGTGGACGAGCCGACGTCGAGTGTCGGACCGGGGCGGGCGCGCACTGCCCGGCGGTCGTAGAATCTCGTCCGCCCTCCCCGCCGCCCGCCCAAAACCATTTCAATAAGGCTAACACTCATTATGATAGATTTATAGTACAGTTAGCGAGAATAGCAACATTGATGCTTTAAACGATTTCACTTCCACATAAGCCTTGAGAAACCGACAATGTATGTTTTGCGTGCGCTGATTGTCGCTACTCAAAGTTGTTGTAATGCCAATTGTTTTATTCACATGCTCCCGGATATATCAAGACTTTTTTTATAGATTTTTTGTTTATGTTATTGTTTGCGAATAATGTAGAAGCAACTAGGAGATAATCTAATGACTTTTTTTACGGCACCATTTTCTTTGTGAAAGATCGTGTATTTAAAATTGTCTTGTCTTTAAATTTAAGAGTAATTTACCCGTAATGTTTAGTAGTATTAGTAAAAAATGTAGAATAATTAATTCTTCTATTTTGTTTTTATGTAAGATTTTAAGAATATTAATCTATAAAATGAAATTATTTGAATAATTTGATATTACAAAATTTAATCTTAATTAATGTTTTATGTAAATAAAATTATATTTTTGATATAAATATGTTAAACTGACTAATTAATTAGTACTGAAATGAAATGTTAATAGTAGAGTACCACTATTACGCCTATAGTAATTTTCCTTGAAATAGTATCCTCTTGAGAGATATATAGGAGTAAATCCACCCACGTTCCTGGAAACTAAATAAAACTCTACATTTGTACCTTATTATTATGGAAAAGATGATAATTTAAAGACATACAAATATATGAAACTGTTGATATGAAACTGAAAGTTCTATTAATAGAAGTCCGTGGGCAGATTGCACCTGAGATAGGTATGTCAAGTTCAGATGTTGAATCATTCGAAAATTGAAATTCGTGACTAAGTTTTTAACTGTTTATAATCTATTTTTGTTTTAATGAGTATTTCTTTGATTTAATTTAAGACAAGCTGTTTTCCCGTGACTTCGCCCGCGTATTATGTAGAGTCACGTAGATGAAAGAAATTGTAAAATCGTATACAGTGTAAAAAATCAATTCTTTATTGTTGGTGACCAACCTTCTTTGTAAATTGTTTTTTTTATATTTTTTTTTAAGAAAGATATTTTTTTTGCTCTTGTTGTATAATAATTATTGTCAGCTCATACCATAGAAGGCATAGATTACCATAGAAGGCGTAAGCTTGGATATGTGATAGGTTTTCTTTAAACTTCGTTATATATAGGTACTACTGCTGTAACCTTTGAATTTTTACCAACGATCATCTAGTTGGTAGAAGGGGGGACACTTGGCTCTAACGTAAATTACCTCTTTAAAGCTTAATAAGTCACAAACGGTTTACTATATGGAAAAACTGCCTTCCCACACTGCCTTTTTTGAAAGACCTATCCAACGATGCACCACACTGCCCCAACAAGACGAAAAAAATAATCATCCCACTTCACATGTAGGGGAGGTATCACTTCACATATAGATTTAATACAATAGGTTAAAAACGCGATTTGCTTGTATATGTATGGTGAATCCACTAAGTAAGCCATGGTGTCCAAAAGGCTGAAAACATATTATTCTTGTCAGTGAGTACGGTAACATCGTTATTTTTAATATAGTACCGGATGTTTGTGATTCTGCGCATTAAAGTCCGATCGTTACAAAAACTTGTGACGATTTTTTTATATTATTTATATCAAATCTGTTGGAAGGTCAGGCCAGGCTGTGATGTATGACTTTTACTACTGTTACGGTGCGTCGTACCACCAACCGTTTATTTCGTCCTAGGTATGCGCATGCAAACTTTTTGTCTTTGATTTTCAACATCATTTATTTTTATTATTCACCTTTCGTAATTTGAAATTTTGAGTAATCCAATATGCTCTCTATGAATGTCAGTTCATAAAAAATATTTTAGCTATACCACCAATATATGTGATTTTATTTAAAAATATTTATATAATCCGTTAAAATTAAAAATGTGTAAAGTGAATAACTTATAAAGTTTTAGTGTGTTAAATAAATTATATATTTAAAAGGAAACCCAGAAAGGGTTTTCTTTTTCTTTTTTCTTTATTACCATAAAAATCAAGTTCGCTAGCTTATTCAACCTTTCATTCATTTGCCTAAGCATCGAACCCATCACACTACTGAAGCCAATAAAATTTAACTAAAAACAAATTTTTATATACATATAAATATTTATAGGTACGTATTTTCGATAGTGTAGTTGTTAGTGCGTCCGGTCTGAGATAACGGATAATAAGTAACATTCGCAAAGGCCGACCAATAGATGGGTGATGAAACTTTTTTAGACCTAGCTTTTCCGTGCTTTGGATAGGTTCCTATATAGGTTCTCGTTGTATTTAAATAATCTACTCATGGCAGGCATGACTTTGTGGCTCGTACAGAAGACATATTAGGACAATATCAGACTTATGATGATATTAAATGGGTCAATGCTTGTATATTACGAGCGAGAGTGCACTTAGAATTAAGGTGAACGGCCGTTGTGTCCTCACGTACAAAACGCAACAGATTTTCCATATCTTTCTATGAATTTGTATAGCACTCCATCCATTGCAACTACAACTAACGCGTTCCGTCGTTCTCCGCCGTCTTCCGCGACCAAAGAAATTTCCCCTTAACATACTAACAAAATTTATAAGCAGTCAAATTAGTAGGTCAAGTTCCAGGCAGAGTCACACATTAACGCTTCCGTATTAATTGGATTACATATTATTATATACACATATTAATATAGGGTTATTAGTAAAACAAAGGACTTGATAGTTAACATCATAAACAACAATGTATGATGTGTGTTGAAAATGTATGAGTTTTAATATAATTCAATGCATATTTTTTTAAGCTTTTATTTTATTTATGCATATTTTTTGGCATCAGCTCAGCGAATTTATGCTGCTCTTGAACCAATTAAAAAGGTTCTTCGACGCTGGCTATATTAGAATATTCTCGGTTAATCGGTTTCTCTGTTTCATAACCTTGACTTTTCTATTCAACCAACGCATGGCTTTTCCATTATTTTCCCATCGTTATTAGCTGAAGAAGCTCATAATAATGGGAAAGTAATGGAAAGGCGATGTGTTGGTATCTCGAATGTCTTAAAACATGGCCAAGCGAACCCACTTGTTTTTGCTTAATGGTTCACATTAGCTCTCGAGAACACATTTGTACTGTTCATACAGTACGACGCATAGGTATGCATTTGTACAACGTGTAGGTACTGTTGTGAAATTTATTCTTCTATGTTATTTTCATAAACAAAAGATGAAGTTATTCTAGTACGATGTGTGAAGATAATACATATTTGTGTTTTATAAACATTCGAGAAGAAAATAATGTTAATTTTTAATATTGCTATTGGGGTATTATAAATAACCATGTATTCATAGTAGATGTTGACGACAGCTTTGCCTGGCTCTTATGATAAGTTTTTTTAAGATTTATAGCTTTGTTACTTATTGTCGCTTTGTTATCTTGCTGTGTAAGTTTGCTTTTGCTGTCTATCTTTAGTATCTTGTGCTTTTATACGTATTCTTAAAAATATTATTCTTTGCTAAATCATCTCTTTATTAATTATTCACAACAGTCCATCGTTCTCGCCTTCAATAACAAGAGATAACACGTATTCCCGGCAACATCTGCATCCGTTAACACCCACCAATCCGCACTGGGCTTGCGCTGATATAAGTGGATACATTAATAGAATAATGTTATACGTGTAAGACGCTTACAGCCGGAAGAAGGTACAAAATCAGAACTGATTTTTCTCAATAACTTAAGTTTTTTTTTACGTTTCACACGGCAAAAAGTTATAGTTTTATCAAGCTGCTATCAACTAATCATTAAAAAAAATAAGATCTGAAACGAAAGTTGTCTAAGTGATGTTTAAATTGGTTTAATTGCAGTTTGAGACGTGCTTAACTTTACATTCTGAATTCATAAAACGGGTGTTATTGTACCGTAGAGCCACCGATTCACGGAGCTACGAATGTCTACAAAAAAATACCTTTTTAGGTTAATATAAGTAACGTTCAAAATCAGAGTTTCATGCAGCATAACAAAGCATGCGCAGAGACTAGTACGTAATATAATATAACTAAATGCAATTTAACGCTAAAAACAAATACCTCTTCTATGAGTACATTGAAATAATTTTGGGCGCCACAGAATATGTATCGATCTTTGAGAATGCTAAAAATAACCCGGTATTACGTTAGTTAACGTCACTATTTTAGGTTTTTGTGTTGTCTGGTCATGTCGTCACCCTGCCCACGTGTTTACAACTCAAAAAATCACGTTTTATCGAATTTTGGCTCGTTATCAATGTTTATATATGAGCAGAAGAGCGCCGTGAACAACTTCCGATGATATGAGATTTATTTCCGACCTGGCTTACTAATGGGCAGCTGGCTATAAAGAAAAACCATACAATTTAATATCTATATAATACCAAAAGAAAATGAATGTGTAAATTAAAGGAATCCATGTTATATTTGTTTCTTAAACCATGTTCTTTATATAATGACGTAAATTTAACGTAAGTAGGTGATATTTACCAGACTTTCTAAAGATAGTCATTGAACATCACTGATAAAATTAGATGTAATTGAACAACCTTGCGTTTACAATTCTTCGTACCAGTCGCAAATTATTATTAATATAATATGATTCAATGAAATTAACCTTAGAATAATGATGTACATTGGATACACATACCCGTTTCTTGAATGTGTTTAAAAAAAACTACTTAAAGGAAATTTTAAAAATAAACGCTATGCTAGTACCTATAATATTAATACAATTAACAATAATTTATTTCAGTTTTCTACGAATTTAACTGAAGTGGAAGCTTATATATTATTTTCTTCACCCACTTCCGATAATGATATTCTAAATTATCAGGAGAATATTCCTATTCAACGATTGAGAACGTGAGGCTGGCCAAAACAAAACATCTGCTGT